ATCCAGAGAATGCCAGACTTTGATGACAAGATTTGCCCACGAACGACCGCCGAGCCACCTTCCTGTTCAAGTGAGCACAGCACAACAAGGTGAGTCCAAAAATGTCTTGTATGCTGCTGAATAAATGATGTAATATGCCAGGGAGATATGTATACTGTAGTTAAGAAAATAATACTAATTGTATGTTGTGTAGTAAGCTGTTAGTAGCCCATGTGCCTCACCCTAATAATTTGGTCCCTTTTACCCCTCTTAATTTCGCCTACTGTTCTGACTTGGTGGTGCACATGTAGCCTATAGCCTGTTTTAGAGAAATGTAATCATCGAAATGTAATCATCGAATATTGTAAGAGCTTTCATTGTCTGCTTATATGCCCCCTACGGTTCTGACTTGGTGTACAGGGAGAATACTGTAAGAACGGCACATGTTCTGAATAAGTGACGCAGTCAGTCTTTCCTTAACTCTTAGCCAAGATAGACTTGCATGCATAGTATTAATATTAGCCCTCTGATTAGAATGAAGAGCAAGACGTGCGGCTCTGTTCTGGGCCAAGTGCAGCTTAACTAGGTCTTTCTTTGCAGCATGTGACCATATGACTGGACAATAATCAAGATAAGATAAAACTAGAGCCAGCAGGACTTGAATCTATATGTTTGACCATGACAATTTACAATCGAAGGTAACACCGAGTAATTTAGTCTCCTCAACTTGTTCAACAGTCACACCATTCATTACCAGATTCAGCTGAGGTCTAGAACTTAGGGAATGATTTGTCCGTTTTAGAGATGTTCAGGACCAGTTTATTTCTAGACACCCATTCCAAAACAGACTCCAACTCTTTGTTAAGGGTTTCAGTGACTTCATTAGCTGTGGTTTCTGATGCATATATGGTTGAATCATCAGCATACATGGACACACATGCTTTGTTTAATGTCAGTGGTAGGTCATTGGTAAAAATAGAAAAGAGTAGAGGGCCTAGATCGCTGCCCTGTGGTACACCACACTTTACATGTTTGACATTAGAGAAGCTTCCATTAAAGAAAACCCTCTGAGTCCTATTAGATAGAAAAGTCTGAATTCATGATATGGCAGAGGTTGAAAAGCCATAACACATAAGTTCTCTCAACAACAGGTTATGGTCAACAATATCAAAGGCTGCACTGAAATCTAAAAGTACAGCACCCACAATCTCCTTATTATCAATTTATTTCAGCCAATCATCAGTCATTTGTGCCCTTCTCTATAAGCGTGCGGAAAGTCTTGTTAATTTGTTTACAGAGAAATAGCATTGTATTTGGTCAAACAGTTTGCTAAGAGCTGGCAGCAAGCTGATAGGTCTGCTGTTAGAACCAGTAAAGGCCGCTTAACCACTCTTGGGTAGTGGAATGTCTTTAGCTTCCCTCCAGGCCTGAGGACAAAGACTTTCCTCTAGGCTCAGATTAAAGATATGGCAGATAGGAGGGGCTATAGAGTCAGCTACCATTCTCAGTAGCTTTCCATCTAAGTTGTCAATGCCAGGAGGTTTGTCATTATTGATCAATAACAATAATTATCCCCTCTGCTCTGTGGCTGAGTGACTCACTGCTTGCTAACAGAACAGGGCTGCGGGCCACTGAGCGGAATTGAAGGAAAACTAAACTTCCAGGGTACCTATCATCCTCCCACTCTCTCCTCTCTTCCTCTGTATTCCCTTCTAAAGCCTATTCTATTCTATCTATATTTAACGCTTCTGCCTCCAACCCTGGAAAACTTCTCCACTGCCTCCTAACTCCTTAATCCTCCGCCGCCTCCCCTTCCCTCAACCCTCTCTGCGGACCACTGAAAAAAAAGGTTGACGACATCCGCTCCTCATTCACTCAGCTTACTGAGCCCACTCACACAACTACCTTTCCCTCATTCTTCCTTCTCTCTCCAGATGAAGTCCTGCAACTAGTGATGTCCGGCCGCCCGACAACCTGCCCACTTGACCCCATCCCCTCCTCCAGACCATCTCTGGAGACCTTCTCCCATTCCTCACCTCCCTCAACTCATCCCTGACTACTGGCTGCATCCTCTCTGACATTAAGATGGCCAGAATCCCTCCCCTCCACAAGAAACCAACACTCGACCCCTCTGATGTCAAAAACTAGAGACCGGTATCCCTTCTTTCTTTTCTTTCTGAAACACTTGAGTGCGTTGTCTCTGACCAAATCTCTCGTTATCTCTCTCAGAATTATTTTCTTGACCTTAACCAGTCAGGCTTCAAGGCGGCTCACTCAACTAAGACGCTCTCCTCTGTTCTCATCCTCCTAGATCTTTCACTATATATTTTACCTCTTGGGGATGTTATTCGAAAACATAATGTTAACTTTCACTGCTATGCGGATGACACACAGCTGTACATTTCAATGAAGCATGGTGAAGCCCCAAAATTGCCCTCGCTAGAAGCCTGTGTTTCAGACATAAGGAAGTGGATGGCTGAAAACTTTTTACTTTTAAACTCGGACAAAACAGAGATGCTTGTTCTAGGTCCCAAGAAACAAAGAGATCTTCTGTTAAATCTGACAATTCATCTTGATGGTTGTAAAGTCGTCTCAAATAAAACTGTGAAGGACCTAGGCGTTACTCTTGACCCTGATCTCTCTTTTGACGAACATATCAAGACTGTTTCAAGGACAGCTTTTTTCCATCTACGTAACATTGCAAAAATCAGAAATTTTCTGTCCAAAAATGATGCAGAAAAATTAATCCATGCATTTGTTACTTCTAGGTTAGACTACTGCAATGCTCTATTTTCCGGCTACCCGGATAAAGCACTAAATAAACTTCAGTTAGTGCTAAATACGGCTGCTAGAATCCTGACTAGAACCAAGAAATTTGATCATATTACTCCAGTGCTAGCTTCCCTACACTGGCTTCCTGTTAAGGCAAGGGCTGATTTCAAGGTTTTACTGTTAACCTATAAAGCGTTACATGGGCTTGCTCCTACCTATCTTTCCGAGTTGGTCCTGCCGTACATACCAATACGTACGCTACGGTCACAAGACGCAGGCCTCCTAATTGTCCCTAGAATTTCTAAGCAAACAGCGGGAGGCAGGGCTTTCTCCTATAGATCTCCATTTTTATGGAACAGTCTGCCTACCCATGTGAGAGACGCAGACTCGGTCTCAACCTTTAAGTCTTTACTGAAGACTTATCTCTTCAGTAGGTCATATGATTGAGTGTAGTCTGGCCCAGGAGTGTGAAGGTGAACGGAAAGGCTGGAGCAACGAACAGCCCTTGCTGTCTCTGCCAGGCCGGTTCCCCTCTCCACTGGGGTTCTCTGCCTCTAACCCTGTTGCAGGGGCTGAGTCACTGGCTTGCTGGTGCTCTTTCATGCCGTCCCTGGGAGGGGTGCGTCACTTGAGTGGGTTGAGTTACTGACGTGATCTTCCTGTCTGGGTTGGCGCCCCCCCCTTGGTTTGTGCTGTGGTGGAGACCTCTGTGGGCTATACTCGGCCTTGTCTCAGGATTGTAAGTTGGTGGTTGGGGATATCCCTCTAGTGGTGCGGGGGCTGTGCTTTGGCGGAGTGGGTGGGGTTATATCCTTCCTGTTTGGCCCTGTCCGGGGGTTTCTTCGGATGGGGCCACAGTGTCTCCGGACCGCTCCTGTCTCAGCCTCCAGTATTTATGCTGCAGTAGTTTATGTGTCGGGGGGCTGGGGTTAGTTGGTTATACCTGGAGTACTTCTCCTGTCTTATCCAGTGTCCTGTGTGAATTTAAGTATGCTCTCTCTAATTCTCTCGTTCTCTCTTTCTCTCTGAGAACCTGAGCCCTAGGACCATACGTCAGGACTACCGGGCATGATGACACCTTGCTGTCCCCAGTCCGCCTGGCCTTGCTGCTATTCCAGTTTCAACTGTTCTGCCTGCGGCTACGAAACCCCTACCTGTCCCAGACCTGCTGTTTTCAACTCTTAATGATCGGCTATGAAAAGCCAACTGAGATTTATTCCTGATTATTATTTGACCATGCTTGTCACTTATGAACATTTTTGAACATCTTGGCATGGTTCTGTTATAATCTCCACCCGGCACAGCCAGAAGAGGAATGGCCACCCCTCATAGCCTGGTTCCTCTCTAGGTTTCTTCCTAGGTTTTGCCTTTCTAGGGAGTTTTTCCTAGCCACCGTGCTTCTACACCTGCATTACTAGCTGTTTGGGGTTTTAGGCTGGGTTTCTGTACAGCACTTCGAGATATTAGCTGATGTAAGAAGGGCTATATAAAATAAAATTGATTGATTGATTGATCATTGCTATACGGATGACACTCAACTACTCTTCTTCTTCCCGCCTTCTGACACCCAGGTGGCGACAGGCCTCTCTGTGTGCCTGGCAGACATCTCAGCTTGGATATCGGACCACCACCTCAAGCTCGACAAAACGGAGCTGCTCGTCTAAAATGCTAATTAAAGCATCACTGATCTAATTTTTCTCAGTAAGGCCAGAGTCTGACAACATGCTTAAGCAGGGAGGGAGAGGAATTTCCACACTTCAGTGCATTAACTGTTTTCCAACATTTTGACAGATCACAAGCAGAGTCGGATATATAAAAAAGAAGTAGCTTGATTTGGCTTTCTTAATTGTGGAGGTGCATCTATTTCGCTGAAAAGCTGCCAATCAGCTACAGAGTCAATTTTTCTAGCCTTAGCCCAGGCTAGAGAACCAAGGCTAGAGAACCAAGGATTTGTTATATTTTTTACTCTAAGGCGTTTAAAAAGGGGGCGTGTCTTCCAAATAGATAAAAATAGATGAGAAAAATTCAGGGTCAGGCATGCAGCTGATAGAGAAAAGCTCAGAGTAATACATATCATGAAGAAACCTTTGGGGAGAAAATATTTTATATACCCATAAAAGGTGAGCGTAACATACCCGTCAGTAGCTAAACATCTCTGTTTAGAGGGTTGTGTGTGTGTGTGTGTGTGTGGCTACCCACATTCTTTCCCTTGGTTTCTTATCTGGGTTTTAACATGACTGACTAATGACCTTGATCTCTTGAACGCTCAACCCCCCAAAGGTACATCTGTCCATCTCACCTTTGACCTGCATGAGCATGAGTTTCTTGTAGGGCACAGCGCTGTTGTTGGACATCTGGTCGGAGATGTTGACACTACGCAGGTTGACACTGCTGAAGTTCTCCTTACTGGCCAGCCCCGCCAGAGCCACCTCAGAGAATCCACTATTTTTATTCACTGGAACACAGAGATGGAGCCATAGGTTAGAGGAGTTATAAAGATATACAATATACCATATAATTAGGAATTAGAATACTAGAATGGACATGAACCTTCTTATGATGGTATAGATGCGGTAAAGGAGTCAATAGAACGCAGATGTTCCATTGACCAGTGGAGATTAGTCAAATCAGTCATGATTTATGTATTGTAACAGGCCCACATTGTGCTTACTTAACTCCAATTTGGATATATTTGGCTGTTTTCGCTGCATAATATGTAGAAATTGTCACTTTTCAGGTTTAGAAGAAGTGACTGCTAAATGCTAACTCCCGTTCCTATAAGCTGGTTAGCATAGCTAGCATACAGAAATCGTTGTTGGTTGTCAGTCGTTTTTAACTGTAATGCAGTTGATTTGTAACGATGACATGAACATGTGTTGGGGTTGACATCCATACAAGCATCATACGCAGATTCTTACCTCAAAACAGTGTGAAATACACATATAAACAATAGCCTTTTTCTGGGGGGCAATGAGGAGACTCGGGATCTTTCCCCCACGTGTTTCCATGGAAATTCCACTGTTTTGGTTGATTTCGATTTACCTCTTTACCGCATCTATAAAAGGTCAGCAATTATGGTATGGGAGTTGGTCAACCATGGTTTGCCTGTGCAAGATAGTGTAAAACAATGAATTTTAAGATTATCTGCACTGTATGTTTGTTAGCTAGCTAGACAATGGAATCATTCCACTAAAACTGTTTTCAAATTAACTGCCAATATGACAACATTTCATTCAAACAATACAGTCAATCCACAGCCATACACTGGCTGAAATCAGTTGACGATAGGATTTAGACAAGTTGTAAACGCAATAAGTACTGATATTGTATCGTAACAACACACAGCTTTCCAAGACAACAAGAATTGAGACATTTATGGCCTGTTTACATATATTTTAGAGGCCGTTTATACTGAAAATTGGTATACAACCCGTAAAAACGGTATTTATAATTATATGACAATATTTTAGGTTAACAATTTTATTACACAATTTCTGATATATCACATGCTTTACTTTTATTTTCCTGTATAAGTAAAAGCAGGAAATGCATCACAGGTCTATGCCTCTACTGCAATTCATTCCAATTAGACTGGTTCTGGAACTTTAATTTAATAGGATCTCTATGCAATATACACAGTACAGTTGACATTACAAACACACTGAGCCACTTCGGACAAACCAGAGTTCTTATTCCCTGGAACACAGAGACAGAGACAGAGCAGGGGGTAGAAGGACATGTATAGATATACAATATACACAGACACAAAACACATACTGTACATTACACACAGACATACTGTACACACAAGTCATACAGATAAAATGTAATGTGATTAAAGGCAATAAAATACTCTCAACATTGAAATTGATATTAGAAAAACCCCAGAATCAACCAAGTTTTCTGGAAAAACAGGTAATTTATTTATTATTTTTCAACCCTACCCAGAACCCTTCAGGGCCCCCAGTCTCATGAAGTATTTTTATAACACTAAGAGATGGGAAGAGGAAGTTAGAGTGAGTAACACGCCTTTTAGTTTGTAGCTTTACACAGCCCGGGACACACTTTTTATGCGACTTCGATACAGCTACGAACGGAAGTGATTTTCTTAGCAGGTTAGGAGAGAATTTTCACAAAACCCTAACCCTTTTCCTAACTTTAACCTCAGTCTCCTGCTACGTTAATTATCATGAAGAGTGTTTCGCAACACAGCCCACTGCACGTTACCCAACCCATAATGGTAGAAAAACAACAGTGAATATTTGAAGGATTGCTCTGCACAATACCAGGAAATTAAGGCAAGGTTGCGTCCATAATGGCACACTAATTCCCTATAAAGTGGTAATTCCCATATGTAGTACACTCCTTTTAACCAGGGCCCATGTCTTATATGAATCAGTTCAGGTATTGTAGTATAGGGAGGAAGGGAGTTATTAATATATGATTGAAAGTGTGCTCTGGAAAGTTTGCTGTCGTGGGAAGTGTTGGAGAAGATTTCCTCATAGTGCTGTTGTGGTTCTGTTAATATGTGTGTCTCAACCACAGCACACACCATCCACCTCTGCATAGACTGACAATGCATTTACAACTGAATACAAGCACAATCAGATCTAAAGCTTATTTTCCCCATATTCCTAGTTATCTAAACTCCCCCAAACCATAGCCCCTACCCCTAGCACTTTTGTAGATCTGAAGGGATTGGATAGGTATAAGTTAAGCAATATGGCAAAAACATATTGTGGACTAACCCTAATCCTTCTCAGCCTTTATCCTCTTGCTCTACATCAGGACTATGTTGAGTCTCTGCTCTATGTACTCCCTCTCTCAAGTCCTCCCTCCCTCCCTCCCGTGTACTCACTCTTCTCTTGCTTCATCCTCTTGCTCTCCAGCAGGCCGATGTTGAGTCTCTGCTCTGTGTACTCGTGTCTGATGTCCTCTCTGGCCGCCAGCATCTTAAGAGGGTTCCTGGATGACTGGACGTTGCGCACTGGACGCACCGACCGCTTGTGCTCCACCATGGCTGAGGTCAGCCTAGGTCAGAAGTTAGGGGTCAACAGGAAGCAGGTGCCGGGTTTTTACAGTGTTGAATCACCCCTGACCTCTGCTCTGTATATTCGTGTGTGTGAGTGTATGTGTGCGCGTGTGTGCACACATGCTTACTTGGGTATCTGGGTACCACCGAAGATGTCGTCAAAGTCGTCATTGATGTCCACCTTGCTGTTCATGTTGAGGGGCATCTCGGCCACGTGGCGGTAGAACTTCTCGAACATCTCATCATCCAGATTCATGACTTCTTTGACCGTCTTCTCCGTCACTGTGATGGTGGATTCCTGCAGGCCGCCCACTGACGGGGGAGAAGCATGGAAGACAAGATGAGTAACATAACATTATCCTCAAGGCGTCCTCAGTAGTCTCCGATGGCGTTTTTACCGAAGATTCCGGTAACTTTAGTAAATTACCTGTAGCTTTGCAACCCTAGACATAACCCAGTCACTAAGGCCACAATAGACAGAGACCGTCGGTCCTAATTCGCTCCCAACCCCTCCCCCTTGGCTTTAAATGTTCAATGTTTGCAGATCTGTGGGGTCTGGATAGGTATAAGCAGTGTGGTGTTGGAGCTTCCACCCTATTCCTTCCACCTTACAGATCTGCAAACATCACAGGGTTAGTGCCAAGGAGGATGGGTTGGGAGCGAATTGGGAAAGACGGAGACAGTATACTAGAACAAGACACTCACCTTTACTGTTCAACCTGCCCAGGAACGACTCCAGCTTATCCAGTTTCCTGTCTGACTCCAGGTTCATGTCCGGTTTGGCCTCGATCTCTGCAAAGGAACATACAGGAGTTACTCTATGAATGGAGAGAGACTGACATCTACACTTAGTCAGCGTGGGAATAGGGTGCCATTTGGGACTCACTTTAAATTAAATCTGAAGACATCCATTCATAAAAAATGTAAATCACAATAGCAATGAAGGTGACATCTGTCTCATGCATCAACACAGCGTTTCAGTTTGTGAGGGCAACCAAACACTATCCCGGGGTTCATATTCTATCAGATATTGGTTACCAGATAGAATAACAATGACCACACCAATGATTAATGTCACAGTGATTACACATGACAATTGCAGGCAATATGATGCACACAATACAACAGCAAAAGGAATTTTAAAACACCTTCAGTATCAGATAAATCCTCAATTTCTTATAGAATAAAAACAAAGACGATTGATTATAACCAGATGTCAACATTGGCAAAATAAGTATTGCACTGTAGTTTGGTCGTGAGTCAAACAGCACAGAGGCTACAATAGCTTCGCAGTGATTGGATTACGTTGAGGTGATTCTTGACATGGGCATATCAGTACTAGTGTATTTTATATTGAATGACTATTGATACACACATTTTATGATGAAGATGAGTAACATAACATTATTCACAAGAACTACTCAGTAGTCTCTGATGGTGTGTTTACATTTAGGTCGGCATGTATCTAATGACAGTAAAGGACATAACCCAGTCCCAACCGTTTACCCCAAACAACATAATGCAGTCACAACCACGGGTTGGAACTCAAATGATTTTCCAATCATTCTGAACAGAACCCCTATTTCTTTCACTCTGTTCCAGTGTTCCGACCAGAAAATAAAGCTCTGAAACAAAAAAAAAAAAAAAAAAAGCTTTTGCAAAATAGCTAATTAATATACTTGATCCATTAGCATGGATAGAGAAGCTTGCTATGGAACGCATAAGGTAGTTATTTACATGTTTGATTGGTCAGATAAATGCAGGCGCAAATTTCACCGGTGAGGAGAGAGCGACGGCAGGAAGCCGGTTAAGAGCGTTGGGCCAGTAACCGGAAGGTCGCTGGTTCGAATCCCAGAGCTAACTAGGTGAAAAATATGTCAATGTGCCCTTGAGCAAGGCACTTAACTCAAATTGCTCTTGTAAGTTGCTCTGGTTAGGAGCGTATGCTAAATGACTAAAATGTAAAATGAGAGAGGGGTGGACATGGAGGGTGCTCGGCTTGGACATCATGACATGATGTAAACTGGAATGTGTTTAGGCTATTACTAGCATTATAACTTTACAGAATTATATACGAGACATTAGGCATCTTTTTGGAACAAAAAAATTACATTAACCGGTTCTCAAGATCTTAAAATTCACAGTTATGTTCTGGAACACTAGAGATCACTTTCGTTCCAGGTTCTGTTTCCTAACAATTGTTTTGTTCTTTTTCGGTTCTGTTCCCTGAACCCCTGGTCAAAACCATTTACTGTAAATAATATTAAAGGACAATTCCACCCAAAAACGATATTTTGGTATTTGTTTCAATAGTTCATTGTTGACATAGTCCCAAACTGTTTTGCTTGTCAGCAATCAAGTTTTCAAGATATGTAACTTTCAAAATAAAGAAATCATCCCCGTATGATGCATTTTGCATCATATGATGCTGCGTTTTGTATCATATGATGCAAAATACATCATACGGAGATGATTTCTGTATTTTGAAAGATTGTTTTTGGGTGGAGTTTCCCTTTAAGGTGACTCATAGACCAGAGAGGAGAGAGAGGTTCTGGTTCAATTATGATTTTTCCCTTTCTCACAGAAATGTGAACTCGTTCAATCCCCTCAAAAGTTTAAAAGCTTTGGATTGGTGCAATAAACATGGTAGACAATCTGTCCAATGCTTTTGAATCGATGAGGGTGAGGGAGAAAGGGGAAAAACTGAATTGGGCTACTGACCTTCCAGGGGCTTGGAGATGGCAGGAGTGGTGTTCTTGGGTTTGGCAGAGAGAGACGTTACAGGGTTGAAGAGAGCAGAAGGAGAAACCAGACCTGAAACACACACAGATGGACAGATATTAACAATATAATTGGATGTTCCACTACATGGAACAACAGAAGAGAATTGAGAAGTTAGGGCATAACGTTAATGAACTACTGTAATGTAAGTCATGCTGCAGCTCCTTCTATTTTACAGACTGATATATATTGTGTTTGAGCTACTGTAGCGATAGGCTAGCCACCCACCCAGCAGCAACAGTAGTACTGTAACAGTAACTGTCTGTCAGTCAGTGTTTGTGTTCTACCCCCCCTCTCCATTTCTGACAGTAATCTACCATGTCACCCTTAATCTCACTCAGCAGTAAACCTGACTGAACCAGGAACCGCCAAGACCCTCTGTACTACAGCTAATTGGATAATAGGAGACCAATTATATAATTTTCTGCCCGAGTGAAATACACACGGTGACTGCTGCTACTCTATGGGAGCTGGGAGGGTCTGGGAAGGCTGGAGGGAGAATTATATTCACTGGCTGCCTAAACGAACTGCAGGATTATATGGAATGAGTGTAAATGAATTGTGAATTAAAACTGAAGACCACTTATTCACTGACTGACACAAAACCTGGCTCTGTGTGAGCTCGGATGCGTGTGTAAAAATGTGTGTTTTTGCGCATGTGTGCCCGTGCATGCGTGTGTGCATTAGATGATCCCTGACCTTTCTTGATCATGCGTGCGGCCACAGTGAACTGTGTGGAGTCGTTAGCTGCCCCGTGGCCCTTGGACTTCCAGGCCTCCTCTCGGGCCACGATCAACTGCTTCCTCTCATGGATGGACATCTCTATACGCTGGCTCTGGTTTTCCGTAGTCTCCTCACCTCCTCCCATCCTCTGCTAGGAGAACACAGAGATGGGGATAGGGAGACCCGGGGTGTATTCAGTGATATGAAACATTGTCTGTGTCCTAAATGGCAGCCTATTACCTATAGTGCACTATTTTTGATGGACCCTGGTCAACAGCAGTACACTACATATGGAATAGGATGCCATTTGGGACACACCCCCAAGGTGTATTCAGTGAGGTGAAACTTTCAGAACTTTGAAGATGGAAATGTCTGTGCGGTTGTGGTGTGGTACTAACTATAATCACCTTTCACTTAATGTAGCACACCACTGAACAACATCAATAATACCCGGCATACCCATAGATCTCCCCATAACAAAAATGCCTTGTGTCTACTCTAGCATATCTACAGACTACCCTTAACAAAAGTGCCTTCAATATCATATGAATTGACTGGTTTGACAAAGAGAAGTGAAAAAATGTATAGTGTATGGGATGAAATGAATGCAAAATATTTGTTTACAGTTCATTGAATGAAAGAGAACCCAATCACATGACAGAATGAAGCAGAGTGTGGGAGTTGGATGACCATGTCAGGACGAGCACAAAACGAAAGCAACCACACAAATATAAACATCCACAACAAGTTAATTCCCATGAGTACACACACAGACACACTCGAATTCTGTAGCCAACATCAAAGCTGCACTGTAAGCCTATGAGTAGCGCTGCAGTAGGCCTATATGTGTGACAGTAGGCCTATATATCTGTGAGTGAGTGACTGTTGGACTATTGGAGTGGGTGAAGGGTTCACCTTCCTTCTCCACGGGTGCCTCTCATCCCTAACCAGGGAGGCACTGGTCACTCTGGACAAGGGGGGGCTGAAGTTTCCAGACAAGTGGGGGCTGTTGACTCTGGACATAGGGGGACTGGTAGCCTTCACATGACCGGGAAGATGGGTAATGGGTGGAGGAAAGGAAGGGCAGAGGAAGGAAAGAAGAGAGGGTGAAATGAGAGGAAAGAGTGAAGGACCGAGAGGAGAGGATGCAGCCTAGGTGGAAGCCTAGCCAGAAGGTGTGACATTTAATCTTTGTTTTACCTTTATTTAACTAGGCAAGTCAGTTAAGAACAAATTCTTATTTACAATGACGGCCTACACCGGCCAAACCCGGACGACGCTGGGCCAATTGTGCACCGCCCTATGTGACTCCCAATCACGGCCGGTTGTGATACAGCCTGGAATCGAACCAGGGGGTCTGTTGTGACGGCACTGAGGCACTGAGATGCAGTGCCTTAGAACGCTGCGCCACTCGGGAGCCCAATCTCACCAACACCATAGAGCGTCAAAGCTATGTAGCGTCACACCTATCACGCGACAAAGCTATGTACCGTTAAAGCTACAGATGCATAGAACCAAAGCTCTTGAAGCACTGAGCGTCAAATCTATAGTTAAGCAATAAGGCACGAGGCGGTGTGGTAAATGGCCAATATACCACTGCTAAGGGATGTTCTTAAGCACGACGCAACGTGGAGTGCCTGGATACAGTCTTTAGCCGTGGTATATTGGCCATATACCACAAACCCCCGAGGTGCCTTACTGCTATTATAAACTGGTACCAACTTAATTAGAGCAGTAAAAATAAATGTTTTGTCATACCCGGGGTATACGGTCTGATATACCACAGCTGTCAGCCAATCAGCATTCAGGGCTTGAACCACCCAGTTTAAAATAGCTTATAAATAACCATGCTCTTCATTGACATAACTAGGCTTGGGGAGAGAAGGCATGTTTTTAATAGGCCCTGAAAAAAAGTTGCCTCAGAATTGTGCTGTGACGGTAGGACAGGGAGAGCAGCAGCAGAGCAACATCATTACAATGCCTCCAGACATATGGCTAGCATTTTAGGAGTAAGGACAACTATAGAGACCTTCTAGAACTGCAGGGTAGCAGATTTAACACAAGAGCTCACAGCAGAAAACAGGCCTGGGCTTTTTTTGGGAGAGTATACAGTAACAGATATAGTGAATAATATGCATCCATATAGTAGATGAGCTTACCATGCAAAGCCTACAGAGACATGCATGATCTTTGGTGTAGATACTAAGCACATTATTACTCAATAACACTAACTGTATAAAGCATGGAGGCTTTAAAAGCAGCCCATAAGGCAGGTAGGTAGGCTATGCAGGCTGGCTATAGTATGCAGGCTATCAAACTGGATGCATGATCTCACCTGGCTGTTCTGATCAAGACACTGATTAATATCATTGTCAGGGAGATCAGGAGGAGAGGAAGTGGTGGTAAAGACGGGCTCCTACGGAGGGAGGGCCATGGAAGACACAGACAGGTCAAACGGACAGACAGACAGAATCAATGACAGAGGGGAATAAACAGTAGATGGAAAAACCGGGATACCTCCAACCCAATATTTTATAGAGCTGCATATGCAACTGTACTTTGACAGTGGTTTGTAAATGTGGATTGTTGTCAGCCTGCACGCACATGCACACCTTCATCCAACACAATCAATGTCATGCAGTTTATGAGTCTGGATTTAAATGGCTGTATAGACAGGGACTACGACCTGGTGAATTGGTTTCAGCGTCACACCTGAAACCAAGGCTGCCGCACAACTGGCACCCTGTTACATTTTAGTCATTTAGCAGACGCTCTTATCCAGAGCGACTTACAGTTAGTGAGTGCATACATATTTTTTTTCATACCGGACTCCCGTGGGAATCGAACCCACAACCCTGGCATTGCAAGCGCCATGCTCTACCAACTGAGCTACACGGGACTACACAAAGCACTTTATAGGGAATAGGTGGGATGCAACCCATGCCATCACCACTTTACACAAAAAGCCTTGAGACGAAGCTACAGCAACAACCACAGTAATGACATCTGATAAGCAGTAGGACTGAATTAGAGCAGGTAACACACAGTGTAAACATGACAACACACCATCACCATGGTAATAAATTAAAACACTGATAGGGTTGCACATTTCTGGACACTTTCCCAAAATTCCCAGGTTTTTCAAGAAACCCAAGTTGGAAGATTCCCAGAATCAGGTGGGAATAAGCAGGAAATCCAGGAATCCTCCAACCAGGATTTCTGGAAAACATGGGAAAGTTAACGGAATTTTGCAACCCTACGCAGACCACACCACTGTCATTAGTGCCTTGACCCCTCAAGCATCAATACTACTGTGTATAAAACACCACCAACACACCAGGGTATGTGTTAGGTTCCCCACTAACACACTGGTCTTACCCAGAGCTGATCAGACACAGCCAACTCATTAATCAGCATCCCTTCTTCCTAAAGAAACACAGCCAGGAGAAAAAGGACAAGTGTTCTTGTCATCCGCATGGCTGAGACTAAGCTAAAACGTCAACCTCTCTCCCTCAGCACCCTATAAACCTTAACTGACTATTGAGATGTTGACTTCGAAATACAAGCTATATTCTGTCAGGTGTGATCTAAACCAGGGGTTCCCAAACTTTTTTCCCCCAGGGCTCCCTTCTTTCCCCATATATTAAATACAACACCAGTTTTATTTTGTTTCATTCAAGGGACCTAAGAAAATGTTTTGAAGCTCATTTCATGCAATTCTACGTAGTTTAACAAGTTTAATTACATATTTTAGGTACGAAGATGAAGAAAATAAAGTCTAGAGCTGATTTCCCCAAATGTTATTCCACTACCAAATATGTTTTATGATAATTTATATGAACACTTAATTTAATTATACATACTCTTTTAGAGAAAGTGAGTAGATCAATTGATAGCGACAGAGTCACTTCCCAAGCAAAGTCCAACTTCTTTGACTCCCATGTGCAGAGTTGAGTCTTCCTCAATTTTACTGCTTGTTTTTAGCCTAAAGCATTGTATACTTATCCATCATTTTAGTACGGTATAAACAATTGCATATATATATAAAATCAAGATGCATACACATACACCATATGGGGGATGCCCCCTAGGTTGGGAAACTCTCATTTAAACAATGTTTTTAGGAAACCAAACCACTTTTTTTACTTTCAGTTGAGTGCCTGAAGTTGCTGTGAGCTACCTTTAACATTTTAAGCAATGATTCAGTGTAGTTTAAACTCTTAATAAGCATGGACAATGACATCCTAGAATATAATCTCATAAAGGGGTTGCATTTTCTTATCTCTAATTCCTACTGTACTGTAGGCTACAGTACATCTCCTTTGATGTCAGAAGGAAATGGTCTTGATTGAGCTCCCTAGCCAGGCTGAATGGGAGGATAGAAAAAGAGACTGAAAACAAAAACATCCATCCTTGACCTCCTTTGAAGCCCTAAAAAACTGGCTTATTTCAGTTGATTCACTGTTCTTCATTGTTCTTTGATCCTGACTTTATACTTTTAATTTCCTCAGTGTTCTTAGTTTAATCTACAGAGTTAAAAGATCAGGGTCCATATTCATAAAGCGTCTTAGCGTAGGAGTGTCGACCTAGGGTCAGAGTCCCATATACCCCCCCGCCCTGTCCATGTAATCTCATTCATTATGATTTAAAGGGAAAACTGATTCTAAAAGAGCACTCCTACTCTAAGACACATGATGAATACGGAACCAGGCCTGACAACAGCCTCCTTTTGGTTTCATGAGGGGGAAAATCAATCAAGTTTATTGCAAAATCTTCAGAGGCTGTCATAACTTGACAAATGGCAGCTGTCATCGCATGTGTAACCTATCGTAGTAGGCGTAAAAGAAGCGCCTAAAACTAGTTCCCCTATATACTGGTCTTGACAAGAAGAAAATAAACTGTCGGGGGAGGTTCTCTTCTGCACTGTTCAACCAATCCAGTAAATGTGGAGGAGGAGTTAAGATGGAGTGTCGCCTTGTTAACGTCCAAAAGCGGAAGTCGCTTCACAGGTGCTCTTTCCATTTCCCCTGAAAACCGGAACATCCGGTTGTTGGGGACTCGGCAGAGGTTACCGCATGTGGAACACCGAGGAATGTTTTCATTCAGTTATGTCAATTACACCCGTACTGTAAAAAAATAAATTAGTGACAAAGCAACAACAAAATTGGATTGGTGAGCCAAAACAAAATATGGTATTTCCGCTTCGGTGGAAGGACAGAGAATAGGCGAGGTTGTGAATAGTTCTAAACAGAGAGGTAAGTGTAAAAATCACCCCACACCATTTAACTCTCATGCAACGAAACATAACTACAGTGCGCATGCAGAGATTGAAATAAAGGTTTATTTTGAATGAAAAAAAGACATGCAAACGGAAGGAAGATAAATGGATAGAATAGGAGAAATGACATAGAACAAGCCTGGTTATTGCAGGCTAAAGACAAGAGACAGAAATGACAACAAACATGCATTAGATTCATATACTACATTTCATGTACAGTGAGGGAAAAAAATATTTGATCCCCTGCTGATTTTGTACGTTTGCCCACTGACAAAGAAATGATCAGTCTATAATTTTAATGGTAGGTTTATTTGAACAGTGAGAGACAGAATAACAACAAAAAAATCCAGAAAAACACATGTCAAAAATGTTACAAATTGATTTGCATTTTAATGAGGGAAATATGTATTTGACCCCCTCTCAATCAGAAAGATTTCTGGCTCCCAGGTGAGATTAGGAGCACACTCTTAACGGGAGTGCTCCTAATATCAGCTTGTTACCTGTATAAAAGACACCTGTCCACAGAAGCAATCAATCAATCAGATTCCAAACTCTCCACCATGGCCAAGACCAAAGAGCTCTCCAAGGATGTCAGGGACAAGATTGTAGACCTACACAAGGCTGGAATGGGCTACAAGACCATCGCCAAGCAGCTTGGTGAGAAGGTGACAACAGTTGGTGCAATTATTCGCAAATGGAAGAAACATAAAATAACTGTCAATCTCCCTCGGCCTGGGCCTCCACGCAAGATCTCACCTCGTGGAGTTGCAATGATCATGAGAACGGTGAGGAATCAGCCCAGAACTACACGGGAGGATCTTGTCAATGATCTCAAGGCAGCTGGGACCATAGTCACCAAGAAAACAATTGGTAACACACTACGCCGTGAAGGACTGAAATCCTGCAGCGCCCGCAAGGTCCCCCTGCTAAAGAAAGCACATATACAGGCCCGTCTGAAGTTTGCCAATGAACATCTGAATGATTCAGAGGAGAACTGGGTGAAAGTGTTGTGGTCAGATGAGACCAAAATGGAGCTCTTTGGCATCAACTCAACTCGCCGTGTTTGGAGGAGGAGGAATGCTGCCTATGACCCCAAGAACACCATCCCCACCGTCAAACATGGAGGTGGAAACATTATGCTTTGGGGGTGTTTTTCTGCTAAGGGGACAGGACAACTTCACCGCATCAAAGGGACGATGGACGGGGCCATGTACCGTCAAATCTTGGGTGAGAACCTCCTTCCCTCAGCCAGGACATTGAAAATGTGTTGTGGATGGGTATTCCAGCATGACAATGACCCAAAACACACGGCCAAGGCAACAAAGGAGTGGCTCAAGAAGAAGCACATTAAGGTCCTGGAGTGGCCTAGCCAGTCTCCAGACCTTAATCGCATAGAAAATATGTGGAGGGAGCTGAAGATTCGAGTTGCCAAACGTCAGCCTCGAAACCTTAATGACTTGGAGAAGATCTGCAAAGAGGAGTGGAACAAAATCCCTCCTGAGATGTGTGCAAACCTCGTAGCCAACTACAAGAAACGTCTGACCTCTGTGATTGCCAACAGGGGTTTTGCCACCAAGTACTAAGTCATGTTTTGCAGAGGGGTCAAATACTTATTTCCCTCATTAAAATGCAAATCAATTTATAACATTTTTGACAGGCGTTTTTCTGGATTTTTTTGTTGTTATTTTGTCTCTCGCTGTTCAAATAAACCTACCATTAAAATTATAGACTGATCATGTCTTTGTCAGTGGGCAAACATACGAAATCAGCAGGGGATCAAATACTTATTTCCCTCACTGTATGTTTGCCAAATAAATGTGCAAAACCACAACAGATATGTATATCAATTAATACAATTCCTTATATTGCTCAGGAAGTTATCTTGACCAGAATACTGGATTTAAGGAAATGATGTCAACCTTAATCTGGTCTTCTTAGTATTACATTTACTTGGAAACAACCGTACAATGTCTTCAGAATACACATATGGTGAGCTAGCAATTTAGACAACGAATTTAGGATTACAGAATATGGTAAAACAGTGTAAATACAGTACTACTGATATAGGCCTACTACTCGTTTCCAAAATCAAAATAACCACCAATGACTATCATATTTGAGAGTAAGTGCAGTTTAAGATATGCACAGCAATTCTGGCCTCAAGAAGCTTATAAGCATGATAAGAAGCATGCTTTATAAATTATTCTAACATGACAGAGATGAAAAGGAAAAGACACACACAATATCGATGACAATACACAACCCCTCTGTTTAGAGACATCCACAACTTTGTCTTGATATGCATTTACAATGAGTTCATATTAAACCAACAATTGTACTTTAACTTGTGTCAATGAACCAAAAATAAAGGTGTCTAAAGGCGATAACTGAATGAAGCGACAACATCTTCACATGACAATAGGATTAATGTAGGCAAATGTTCTTACAATTTCCCCTTTTGGGATTACTTGATTAGAAAAGTACGCAGCAAATTAAGGTGTTTGTGATTTCCCACAAAATATGCCTTAAAAACTGCCTGATTGACTTTTTCATTACATAAAATTGTCAGCCAAAAGACTTTAACCATGTGCTTGTGTTGAGTCTTTAGTAGGGGTATAGTTTTCTGTTGATAAAGGAGCGTACCATACAGTATATACAGTAGTGAGTCAGGTTACCTTCTTCTTGAAGCTCTGCTCCACCTCCCATAGCTGAGCGTGACGTTCTGACACGGCCACCTGCACCACGTCCTGCTTCCTATTAATCCTGTTCCTCCAGTCCTCCTCGCCACTCTTCTTCAACAGGGCCAGCCTGGGGGGGGAGAGAGAGAGAGATGTCAGTCTTTGTTCTGCCAAGGGGCCATGGTTGTACAACACTAAGACACATGTAATACAGCATGCACAGTGGATTCTTTGAGCCATCTGTCCAATAAAGGTAAATTGGATCAATGACAACAAGCTGTGAGAGAGCTGGAGAGATGGACGATAGAGCTCTGGCTAGCCATAGCTAAAGCTTTCCCCATATGGTCTCAGCTCAGTCATAAAGTTAGAACCTAGACCGTCACTCTACAAACTAGGTCCATTATTTAGAATTTGGAATCTTGCTCCTATTCTACAAGGAGCCAACAAGAGCGTTGGGATGGTCTGGATGCTTAAACGACTGAATGTTTGGGTTGAGTGCGTTTCCTCCAAAAGTGTGAAATGACAAACTATTCCCTATATAGTGAACTACTTTTGACCAGTAACGCAATCAAAAGTAGAGCACTATATATGGAATAGAGTGGCATTTGGGACACAGACTCACAGAACAGTGCTGAGAATAAACAGATCAGACTAGAGCAGTAGAAACACGTTCTCTGGATTGATAAATCACGCTTTTCCATCTGGCAGTCCGACGGCCAAATCTGGATTTGGCGGATGCCAGGAGAATGCTACCTGTCCCAATGCATAGTGCCAACTGTAACGTTTGGTGGAGGAGGAATAATGTTTTTCATGGTTCGGGCGAGGCCCCTTAGTTCCAGTGAAGGGAAATCTTAATGATACAGCATACAATGACATTCTAGACGATTCTGTGCTTCCAACTTTGACAATGCCCCTGTGCACAAAGCGAGGTCCATAGAGAAATTGTCTGCCGAGATCGGTGTGGACGTCTTTCTGGGTAAGTCTCTAAGAGCTTTCCACACCTGGATTGTGCAACATTTGCCCATTATTATTTTTTACAATTCTCCAAGCTCAACCATGTTCAGGTCTTGCCATAGATTTTCAAGTAGATTTGAGTCAAAGTGGTAACTCGGCCACTCAGGAACATTCACTGTCTTCTTTGTAAGCAACTCCAGTGTAGATTCTGCCTTTTGTTTAAGGTTTTTGTCCTGCTGAAAGGTGAATTCATCTCCCAGTGTCTGGTGGAAAGCAGACTGAGCCAGATTTTCCTCTAGGATTCTGCCTGTGCTTAGCTCCATTCCGTTCATTTTTTATCCTGAAAAACTCCAGTCCTTAACAATTACAAGCATACCCATTACATGATGCTGCCACTACTGTGCTTGAAAATATGGAGAGCGGTACTCAGTAATGTGTTGTATTGGATTTGCCCCAAACGTAACACTTCGTAATCAGGACATAAAGTGAATTGCTTTGACACATTACTTTAGTGCCTTGTTGCAAACAGGATGCATGTTTCGGAATATCTTCCTTCTTTTCACTCGGTCAATTAGGTTAGTATTGTGGAGTAACTACAATGTTATTGATCCATCCTCAGCTTTCTCCTATCACAGCCATTGAACTCTGTAACTGCTTTAAATTCACCATTGGCCTCATTGTGAAATCCCTGAGCGGTTTCCTTCCTCTCCGGCAACTGAGTGAGGAAGGACACCTGTAGCTTTTGGGTGTGTTGATACACCATCCAAAGTATTATTAATAACTTCACCATGCTCAAAGGGCTATTCAATGTCTGCTTTTTTAAATTTTTACCCATCTACCCATATGTGCCCTTTACGAAGCATTGGAAAACCTCCCTGGTCTTTGTGGTTGAACCTGTGTTTGAAATGTACTGCTCAACTGAGGGACCTTACAGATAATTGTATGTGTGTGTTACAGAGATGAGGTAGTCATTCAAAAATCATGTTAAACACTATTATTGCACACCGAGCCAGTTTGCGCTGTTCTGTGAAGGGAGTAGTACACAGTGTTATACGACATCTTCAGTTTCTTGGCAATTTCTCGCATGGAATGCTCGCTGGAAGTCGTTGGGTGAGGTTGTGTCTCTCTCTGGCGGGAGGTAAGCTTGGCTTATATGGCTTATATGGTGTCGAGTAAAGCTTAAACTATGTAGTTAGATTGTAGTTAGGTATTGTAGGTAGTTATCGTAGGTAGTTATCGTAGGTTATTGTAGTTATAGTAGGTTATTGTATGTAAGTATTGTAGGTAAGTATTGTATTAGGCTGAGCCCGGTGAAGCACGAGGCTAGCTAACCCACTACCTGGACTAGCTAGCGGGTAGCTACTGGTAACTATTAGCAACTGCGGATAGTTGTTTCACGCTTGAGAGTACCTGTAATTACGCCAGCTAACTGCCTACCATTCAGCTGTTTTTCTAACCTCATTGTCTGAAGCGTTAACGTTAGGTAGTTAGTAGCTACTGTGCTCGAAATGTAGCTATCTTGTTGCTACCTGGATAGCTAATTAAACAATAGCTGGAACGACCTAGCGAACAGACGCGAACTGGCTGAGTCGATTCAGTGGCTAGCTTTGCACTTGGCTAGCTAACAGTAGCTGCTAGGGCTAAGTTATAACCTACATTTGTGTTTTGTTTTACATACTGGTAACCAGAGTCGTTCAAGGGAATTCAGGACATGGCTGACTAGTTAACGTTAGCTTGGCTCTCTCTGTGTGTTAATGCCGTGGGAGGAGTTATTTTTTTCGTTGGCAGGAAGCAATGGCTAGCTAGTATGCTAACTATTCTAGCTAACTAACTGGCTGAATAAGTTGACGACGGACTTGATCAAGCTGTCGGGACTAACCCAGAACTTTACACAACGTTAGACACGGACACGAATGATCTGCTTGGCGTGTTGACACACTGGTGGTTTGTTGTGGCCGAGTTTGTTGTGGCCGAGTATTGGTGCTAAACCGTGTTGTTGGAGGCTGGCATGCTAGTTGGCTGTGGCGTCATAGGATTCGGTGCCCTGGACGGTTTTCACTGAAGAATACTGTACCAAGTTAGCTAGCTGAATAAACTAATTTAGTCTATTCCTAGAAAACATTGAACCACTGTAGTTTACAACAATTATAGTTTCTGAGGTGGAAGTTGGGAGAGTTATATTTGGGTGTTTCAGTGAAACGTAAGTGAGGGAGGCCCCGCTCTCTCGCTTTCCCAGATGTTTAGTTCATTTCATTCCGATCTCCTTTGCATTATTGTAGCCATTTTCTGTAGCCTGTCAACTATGCGTCTGTCTATCCCTGTTCTCTCCTCTCCGCACAGCCTATACAAACGCCTCACACCGCGTGGCTGCTGCCACTATAACCTGGTGGTCCCTGCACGCACGACCCACGTGGAGTTCCAGGTCTCCGGCAGCCTCTGGAACTGCCGTTCTGCAGCCAACAAGGCAGAGTTCATCTCAGCCTATGCTACCCTCCAGTCCCTCGACTTCTTGGCGCTGACGGAAACATGGATTACCACTGAAAACACTGCTACTCCTACTGCTCTCTCCTCGTCTGACCATGTGTTCTCGCATACCCCGAGAGCATCTGGTCAGCGGGGTGGTGGCACAGGAATCCTCATCTCTCCCAAGTGGACATTCTCTCTTTTTCCCCTGACCCATCTGTCTATCTCCTCATTTGAATTCCATGCTGTCACTAGCCCATTCAAGCTTAACATCCTTATCATTTATCGCCCTCCAGGTTGACGCCTTGATAAGTTCCTTTCCTGAGGATGGCTTACCCCTCACAGTTCTGGGTGACTTTAACCTCCCTACGTCTACCTTTGACCCATTTCTCTCTGCCTCCTTCTTTCCACTCCTCTCCTCTTTTGACCTCACCCTCTGTTACGGATACAGGTATCCTGTGTCCTGTGTTTTTCTCTCCTTCTGCCCTAATCACAGGTGTCCTGTATGTTCCTGATTGGTGGTCGTTGAGATGTCTGCTGATTGGACCAATCAGTGAACATTCCTGTGCATTGCACCACCTGTTACTCGTTTTTTCAATCACACATCCCATTATATAAAAACCAGTCACTTGTGTTTGTTGAGAGAGAGAGAATATTTCTGTATGTGAGTATGGACACTGTGGTGTCCTGTTTTTGGTTACTCACTAAGTTGCTGGTTACTATGATTGGTAATTTTGTTAGACCACTGTTTGGTATGTGAGTAATGGATACTGTGATGTCCTGTGTTTAGAGTACTCACTAATTTGCTGGTTACTCTGTTTGGTAACTATTGTGTGTTTCTGGGAAAAGGGGAGTTTGAGCTAGCTGCCCTTGGGCATACATTTCCCGTAGAAAGAACTGTCTATAAACACTAGTTAGACCTGAGCGGACCACCCACTGTATTTTTGTATGGTAGCAGTAGCCTAGCGGTTCTTGAGGCAGGCAAGATCAGTTTAGGGGTGTTTTACACTATTGTTTCATTTCTTGGGTCCTGCTCAGCCCTTTTTCCCAAACCGTTACCGTGTGTTCAGAAATAAACCATTTGTGTTTGACGGTAGTTCATGGTTGTTGTGTCATATTTGTTCTCACTATTCCATGCCACACTTATAATTTACATGAATTATGTTACGGGTCTCATGTCCATCACCCTAGACGTTCAAAGCCACGGGGTTCGTAACACCCTCTCACCGTCCCCCCCTACTCACAAGGCAGGCAATACGCTTGACCTCATCTTTACTAGATGCTGTTCTTCTACTAATCTCATTGCAACTCCCCTCCAAGTCTCCAACCACTACTTTGTATCCTTTTCTCTCTCGCTCTCCTCCAACACTACTCACTCTGCCCCTACTCAGATGGTAATGTGCCGTCGCAACCTTCGCTCTCTCTCTCCCGCTACTCTCTCCTCTTCCATCCTATCATCTCTTCCCTCTGCTCAATCCTTCTCCCTCCAATCTCCTGATTCTGCCTCCTCAACCCTCCTCTCCTCCCTTTCTGCATTCTTTGACTCTCTATGTCCCCTATCCTCCCGGCCGGCTCGGTCCTCCCCTCCTGCTCCGTGGCTTGACGACTCATTGCGAGCTCACAGAACAGGGCTCCGGGCAGCCGAGCGGAAATGGAGGAAAACTAGACTCCCTGCGGACCTGGCATCTTTTCACTCCCTCCTCTCTACATTTTCTTCCTCTGTTTCTGCTGCTTTAGCCACTTTCTACCACTCTAAATTCCAAGCATCTGCCTCTAACCCTAGGAAGCTCTTTGCCACCTTCTAATCCCTGCTGAATCCTCCTCCCCCTCCCCCCTCCTCCCTCTCTGTGGATGACTGCGTCAACCATTTTGAAAAGAAGGTTGACGACATCCGATCCTCGTTTGTTAAGTCAAATGACACAGCTGGTCCTGCTCACACTGCCCTACCCTATGCTTAGACTTCTTTCTCCCCTCTCTCTCCAGTTGAAATCTTGCGACTTGTGACAGCCGGCCGCCCAACAACCTGCCCGCTTGACCCTATCCCCTCCTCTCTTCTCCAGACCATTTCCGGAGACCTTCTCCCTTACCTCACCTCGCTCATCAACTAATCCTTGACCGCTGGCTATGTCCCTTCCGTCTTCAAGAGAGTGAGAGTTGCACCCCTTCTCAAAAAACCTACACTCGATACCTCCGATGTCAACAACTACAGACCAGTATCCCTTCTTTCTTTTCTCTCCAAAACTCTTGAGCGTGCCATCTTTAGCCAACTCTCTTGCCATCTCTCTCAGAATGACCTTCTTGATCCTAACCAGTCAGGTTTCAAGACTGGTCATTCAACTGAGAGTGCTCTCTGTGTCACGGAGGCTCTCCGCACTGCTAAAGCTAACTCTCTCTCCTCTGCTCTTGTCCTTCTAGACCTGTCTGCTGCCTTTGATACTGTGAACCATCAGATCCTCCTCTCCACCCTCTCCGAGTTGGGCATCTCCGACGTGGCTCACTCTTGGATTGCGTCCTACCTGACAGGTCGCTCCTACCAATTGGCGTGGCGAGAATCTGTCTCCTCACCACTGGTGTCCCCCAGGGCTCAGTTCTAGGCCCTCTCCTATTATCGCTATACACCAAGTCACTTGGCTCTGTCATATCCTCACATGGCCTCTCCTATCATTGCTACGCAGACGACACACAACTAATCTTCTCCTTTCCCCCTTCTGATAACCAGGTGGCGAATCGTATCTCTGCATGTCTGGCAGACATATCAGTGTGGATGATGGATCACCACCTCAAGCTGAACCTCGGCAAGAGGGAGCTGCTCTTCCTCCCGGGGAAGGACTGCCCGTTCCATGATCTCGCCATCACGGTTGACAACTCCGTTGTGTCCTCCTCCCAGAGTGCAAAGAGCCTTGGCGTGACCCTGGACAACACCCTGTTGTTCTCCGCTAACAAGGCGGTGACCCGATCCTGTAGGTTCATGCTCTACAACATTCGGAGAGTACGACCCTGCCTTACACAGGAAGCGGCACAGGTCCTAATTCAGGCACTTGTCTGTTGGCTGGGCTCCCTGCCTGTGCCATTAAACCCCTACAACTCATCCAGAATGCCGCAGCCAGTCTGGTGTTCAACCTTCCCAAATTCTCTCACGTCACCCCGCTCCTCCGCACACTCCACTGGCTTCCAGTTGAAGCTCGCATCTGCTACAAGACCATGCTGCTTGCCTACGGAGCTGTGAGGGGAACGGCACCTCCGTACCTTCAGGCTCTGATCAGTCCCTACACCCAAACGAGGGCATTGCGTTCATCCACCTCTGGCCTGCTGGCCCCCCTACCTCTGTGGAAGCACAGTTCCCGCTCAGCCCAGTCAAAACTGTTTGCTGCTCTGGCACCCCAATTGTGGAACAAGCTCCCTCACGACGCCAGGACAGCGGAGTCACTCACCACCTTCCGGAGACACTTGAAACTCCACCTCTTTAAGGAATACCTGGGATAGGATAAAGTAATCCTTCTACCCCCCCCTTACCCCACCAAAAAATTAATAAAAATAAAATTAACATATTGTAAAGTGGTTATCCCACTGGCTATAAGGTGAATGCACCAATGTGTAAGTCGCTCTGGATAAGAGCGTCTGCTAAATGATGTAAATGTAAATGTAAAATGAATAGCCTTCATTTCTCAGAACAAGAATAGACTGACGAGTTTCAGAAGAAAGTTATTTGTTTCTGGCCATTTTGAGCCTGTAATCGAACCCACAATTGCTGATGCTCCAGATACTCAACTAGTCTCAAGAAGGCCAGTTTTATTGCTTCTTTAAAATCAGCACAACAGTTTTCAGCTGTGCTAACATCAATTAGCCTTTTAAAATGATCAACTTGGATTAGCAAACACAACGTGCCATTGGAACACATGACTGATGGTTGCTGATAATGGGCCTCTGTATGCCTATGTAGATATTCCATTTTAAAAAATCAGACATTTCCAGCTACAATAGCCATTTACAACATTAACAATGTCTACACTGTATTTCTGATCAATTTGATGTTATTTTAATGGTAAAAAAAAATGCTTTTCTTTAGAAAACTAGGACATTTCTAAGTGACCCTAAACTTTTGAACGCTAGTGTGTGTGTGTGTGTGTGTGTGTCCCAGTTCTTCCATGGCCTGCATACTCAGATATGTCAACCATTGAGCATATTTGGGATGCTCTGGATCGACGCATACGACAGCGTGTTCCAGTTCCCGCCTGTGTACGACAGGGTATTCCAGTCCCCGCCAATATCCAGCAACATCGCACAGACATTGAAGAGGAGTGGGACAACATTCCACAAGCCACAATCAACAACCTGATCAACTCTATGCGAAAGAGGTGTCACACTGCATGAGGAAAATGGTGGTCACTCCAGATACTGACTGTCTTTCTGATGCACGCCTCTACCTTTTTTTAAGGTATCTGTGACCAACAGATGTATATCTGTTTTCCCATTCATGTGAAATCCGTAGATTAGGGCCTAATGAATTTATTTCAGTCGACAGATTTCCTTATATGAACTGTAAATTGTTGCATGTTGCATTTATATTTTTGTTCAGTATAATTTCCTCCTTATCAGAGAGACAAGAGGAATGGGGTTAGAGCCAAGCAGCTCTCTCTCTCGGTCTTCTGCCGACCATCACTGCTGTCTTCCTCCTTGGGTGCTCACAGCTCCAACCAACCAACCAACCTACCTACCGCCCAAAATAAATCCCTTTAACTCACGTCAAACGCACCCAGCGCTGCCTCGCTTTCTCTCTCGCTCTTTACTTCAATCTCCCTCGCAACCTACATTCCACAATGAGAGTCAAGGTGAGTCTCTCACCCTCTCCTTCCATCTCTCTCGAACATACTAATATAAGAATAAGAAAATAAAACACTACATCTTATCATTTTGACCTCTGCAGATCAAAAACTGACTCAAGTCCACAAGCATAAACATACTGACTGAGTCAGTGTCAATATCCAACATGAGTCAACAACAATTCAAATAATGCATGTGGCTGTTGCTGTCCCCTCTGACAGACTGAAACAAACAAACAGGACTACGCTGCATTCAAAAACTACACAGCCCATTCAGACAATGATTCAGAGAATGAGGACAAAATGTAATATGCTCACACACATACCGTACAGAGAATGACCAAAACTGCCTTGCCAAAAATTATTAATTACACTTTGGATGGTGTATCAATACACCCAGTCACTACAAAGATACAGGCGCCCTTCCTAACTCAGTTGCCGGAGAGGAAGGAAACCACTCAGGAATTTCACCATGAGGCCAATGTTGACTTTAAAACAGTTACAGAAATGAATGGCTGTGATAGGAGAAAACTGATGATGGTGAGCAAAACAAGCTGTCCAGAGCCAACTGCCTAGAGACTTTCCCTAATCAACCCAGGGTTTCTTTGCTGAGAAAAAGAAAAGGAACTCACCTGTCTTTGATGGACATCTGTCTAGCCGACATTGCTTCTGAGAGCTCTATGTCCTCTTGCTCCGACTGGACCAGGCTGTGTGTGTATCCCAGATCACTGCTGCCGTCTGTGTGTGTGTCTGCGCCGCCCAGCTCCCGAGCCTGAGGCAGCAGTGTGTGTGGAGAGAGAGATGCACTCCTTAGCTGCTCTGCTGCTCTCGATGATGACACACTGGAGTCTGGCAGCTCTGCACACACACACAGGAAGGCGTTAGGAGAGCTCCCCTAGCACAATCATGTTTGCAAACAGACTTATAAAAAATCTCAAAACAGCTGTAGAGAAGCGTAACACTCTCACAATGTTAAAACCCTCCACCCTGTTGCTCCTCTAGTTGTGTGAACAGTACAGCGAACCTCCCTCTACAGAAGTCACACCATAGCTCTGGATAAGAGCGTCTGCTAAATGACGTAAATGTAAATGTAAAGAAGAGTCTCTCTCTCGCGACTGGTCCGTGCCCTAGCACGCTGCGGGAGAAGCCAAACGCTGATACAGACTGACAAGACAAAACAGGGGAGAGCTAGCTAGAGTCTGCGCCCACTGTGTAATATCAAATAAGGGAAAGCTTGAAAACCACAGCCACTGCGTGTCAACATAATTCATACACACAACACAGGAAGTTTTTTATTTTTTTTTGGGGGGGGGGGGGATACAGCATCTCTGGTATATTTGCAGCTTATCACTTCAGTTTACACTGTGTGGTAGTATTGGCTGTGTTGATGTTTTCTTTGCGAGTAGTCTACATGGATTTACAGGAGCCATAGTGGATGTACCAAGGGGGAAATAAAAACATTTAATTGAGCTAATGTGATCTGTCAGATGGTCGGCATCGGAAATAATTTCATAACTCTCTCCCACACACACACATAGCCAAGCGATGATCACTCGTATACAGTCAAGTTCAGAATTATTGGCACCATTGATCAAGTGGAGCAAAATACTAAATAACACAAATATATTGTATGCAAAAAAAAGAAAAAGGGAAATTATACTAATACTCAGAGAAATAGATTGTGTTTAAGTAATAAAAACAATACTCTAGCACTCTCCTGTTTTCAATACTCTAGCACTCTCCTGTTTTCAATACTCTAGCACTCTCCTGTTTCGAGGATAAAGACAGAGCCTTTACCGCCAAAAGAGTATGAGATTGGAGAACACGCTGGGAGAGATGTTAGACCATTCCTCTATACAGAATCTTTCCAGATCCTTGATATCCTTCGTTTGCGCTTATGGATTGCCCTTTTCAATTCAAACCACAGTTTTTCAATGGGGTATAAGTCCAGAGACTGAAACAACCCTTCCTCCCTCACACCCTTTGACCTTTTCAAAGTTTTGTTGTGTTGTGTTACAGCCTGAATTTAAAATGGATTAAATTGAGATTTGTCGTCACTGGCCTACACACAATACCCCATAATGTCAAAGTGTAATTATGTTTCTTTTTTTACAAAGTAATTAAAAATAAAAAGGTAAAATGTCTTGAGTCATTAAGTATTCAACCCCTGTGTTATGGAAAGTCTAAATAAGTTCAGGAGTAAACATTTGCTTAACAAGTCACATAAATTGAATGGTGTGCAATAATAGTAATAATAATACATCTGACATTGAATATCCCTTTGAGCATGGTGAAGTTATTAATTACACTTAGGATGGTGTATCAATACACCCAGTCACTACACAGATACAGGCGCCCTTCCTAACTCAGTTGCCGGAGAGGAAGGGACACCGCTCAGGGATTTCACCATGAAAATAATAAAGCTGTGTAAAGCTCAGAGACTTACTCAGAAAGACTCACAGATGTAATCGCTGCCAAAAGTGATTCTAACATGTATTCTCAGGAGGTTGAATAGTTTTTTACTCTAGATATATTTGTTTACAAATGTTCTAATTATTCTTCCACTGAGTATTTTGTGCAGATCGTTGACAATTTTTTTATTTAATCAATTTTAATCCCACTTTTTAATAAAACAAAATGTGGAAAAAGTCAAAGGGTGTGAATACTTTCCGAAGGCACTGTATGCAGGCATGCATGCACGCGCGTGCGTGCGTGAGAGAGAGTGGAGCATTTCTAAGAATTTGATTTGGATTTTTTAAAGCATGAGGCCAGAGTGAGAGAAAGTGAAAGACTAACAGAAAAGCCACAGCGACAACCCTTCCTCCCTCCTTCCCCCTGTCAATCCACAGCCCCTGGAGGCTTGTTTTACCAGCATTGCTGGGGAGTAGTGAACTACATGTAATTTAACTACATTTTGCAGTAGCTTGGTGGTAGTTGAACTAAATTAAAATCTTGTTAGTGTTTTCAGTAGTTAATTACTTTATTGCTATAGCGGTGTGGCCAACTACTGGAATTACACACTACTTGTTTTGCAAAAAGAAACAAAAATATGGGTGTGCAAGACTTTCATTAGTTTTTTGTGTTTAGTAGGCTAAACTACACACTTTGTTAACATCTGACTGCAGAGTGATCTGTTCTTGTAATTTGTAGTCTATGACATTTCATATTTCGATATGATAATTTATCATAAAGTACTTTTTCAAAGTAACTTTAGTTAAGAAAACTATATTTTTCTTAAGGGTAGCTTCAGTGTAGCTTACTATTCCAGTGTGAAATAATAGGTACTGTAGCTTGGTAAACTATATTTTCAGAGTAGCTTCCCTAACACTGCTTACCAGTGCTGATGACCTTTGACCTGTGTCTGTCTGGGTCCTGGAGGTCAAATGATGACTGTCTCAGATAGCCCCTCTGCTCCTGGTGCTGCCTCTGGTCCTGGTGGAGACCACCACCACCGCTCTCTGACCCATTCAACACGCGCTGGGGCTCCACACCCTCACCACCACCCATCCTGGCCACATGCTGCTCCTCCTCCCACTCCCTGCCCCCAGACCGGGCCTGAGGCTGGGGCAGGGGGGGATTTCTGACACCTCCCTCCGGAGATGGCAGCTTTCTCTTCCCTCCCCACAGATCACCCTCCTCTCCCTTGGGGAGGATGGTGGTGGTGTCAGCCTGGTGCATCTGGAGATCCAGAGAGGCTTGGTGGTGGGGGCCGGGCACAGACCTCCAGACAGCATTGGTCGGTTCTGTGATCTGGGTGGGAGGGCTAGGGTGGTGGTAGATGGACCTCTCGTAGTACCCAGGGTTTGGTGCAGCAGGAGTGGCCTCGGCTGGGCTACCCCCGCCCCCCCTGGCTAAGTGGATGTCCCCTGCGTGGTCTGTGGAGACCGTGGCCCCAGGTCTGAGTGCTGATGAGGATAGCTGGCCCAACCTGGCCCCGTTATGGATCTGGGTCGAGGGAAAAGGGGAGAAAAGAGAGTGGGATGAGAGAGAGGGAGGGAGAGAAAACAAGGTCAGCTAGAGTGGACGAGAAGCTCCCTCAGCAGATGAGTCCGTCCGCCCAGTAATAGTGAGGCAGCAGGCTAACCAACAGACAATGGAACTCTAGATAATAACGCTGACTAATCACAGGCTGACCCACTGCACTTCCTGTGTGGATCAAAAGGACTGCAGTTTGCCTAGCCAATCACGGCCCACGTCACAAAGCCATGCCCAACCAGTCATGTCCCCCCACTCACTGACAACCACAAAGCACAATGAGTCCAGGGTCATATTCACTGGGCACCAAACAGAAGCAAACTGACCGAAACAGGTAGGGACCTAAGAACCACTTGTTTATGTTTTTGGTTACGAAACGTTTTGCTTCAGTGTGCACTTATGAATGCGACACAGCTGCTGCCAACAGTCTGTGAAGCAAGGGATGAGTTCAGCCACACACTCTCTCGCTCTCTCCTCCCGCTCTATTCACAGAATCATGCTCTAAGAATAACACTGAATCAGTAGACATTGACGCAATCGTCCATTCGTTTAGGATTGACCCACAAATGTCACTTCTCAACTGAGAAAAACAACTGACAATTTCTCTGATGTTTATCAAGAACGCTAACATCTAGTTATGACAAAAGTCATTCACTTTTATGAATCATCTCATCTTTGTTGTTACATCATTTCCATATCCTGTTGTGGTCTAAACATAATCAAGTTAAAGGACATTCCTCAACTTCTAAGTCGAAGGACAAACCTAGAAATCACTTTTACAACACACATAACAATAAACAAACTAATGTATTTTCTCTGAGGTAATCTGCTCAGATTCCAACAATGTACTGTACATTTACAGTGTTGTACTCTTTATGAGAGGAAAGTAGGTAGATCTCAATGCTCTGTCTGAACAAGCTGTACTCATACTTTTATACCATTTAGGAGTGAATAATGTTAAGACTTTACTGTCTGTGTCAACCCTATACTGTACGGCTCACTAACTACAGTCCAAGAAGCCCATTCCTTAATTTGTCCCTCTCTTTCAGTCACAACAACCTTGTTTCTAACAGTGACTGTTGAGAGATGAACCTCGGCTGATAAACTGCATTCAGTCCATCCCTCCATTCAGAGAATGAACGAGGGATCAGCTTTATATTCTCCTCCCTTTTCCTCTCCTCTCACACAGAGGGTCTATTTATGCCAAAGAGCAGCTCAGTGAAATATGGTCTACATCCCAAATGGCACCCTATTCTCCATTTATTGCACTACTTTGCACAGGGCCCCCAGGGCCCAAAAGTAGTGCACCACCGGAGGCTGCTGAGGGGAGGACGGCTCATAATAAGGCCTGAACGGAGTAAATGGAATGGCATCAAATATATGTAAACCATGAATTTGATACCATTCCACTAATTCCCCTCCAGCTATTACCACCAGCCCATCCTCCCAAATTAAGGTGCCACCAACCTCCTGTGTAGTGCACAATATTGGGAATAGGGTGCCATTTAGGAGAAGCCATGCTCAGCCTTCGTACGCACATCATCACACAATCTCTTCATTGACTTCACAGGCCAATCAGGAAGTTACAGAGCACAAGACACACAAGTGCTAATTAAATCAGGTATCCTTCAAAAAGCTGCTAGGGCCTGCAATAATACTGTATTTCACTTTCAGGTGAAGCAGCCTCAGATTCATTAGAAGAGCATCAGCAATTAATAAATCGATTTTCGAAGTAATTGTATGCTATTGCCATTTTATTCCTAGAACTAACTAATTAATCTGATCTTTTAATGTTGGTCAAGCACAAATGAACGAAGCTGAAGTGTTGCCAAGAGCCAAGCATAGCTCCAGTTGCATCAGCCTCCACTGCCTGGCCATCATGCCGTGGGTAGAGCCTTACTTGTGTGATGTCACACTGGCCCCCGTCACCTAGCTCCTGCTCATCACAGGGGTCAGTGTCTGAGGGCTCCTGGACCAGAGAATACACACACACAATCTCACACACTTAGAGAAACGGTATGTGTTTGAGTGTGTCATTTCTATGAAATGGTATTAAACACACAATGGGTGATGTTGAAAGTCAATAAGGGGATTAGAGGCTTGAATCAATATTAGAACTAGATAAGGAACAACACTATGTAAGAAGGGGTATAGATAGTACATGATTACAGCAACAATCACTACAATGACCACGTCACACACGAATACAGCCAGAACTCCTCCTACAGCCAGAACCCCTCTACAATATCTGCTCCATTGTCTCTGCTCCTACCTGCTCCAGGTCTCCCAGGGTGATGGGCTGGGTCTGGTAGCGGGCGTTGGCCCTGCGCCCCCTGCTATCAGGCCTGGTGCAGGTCACCCTGGTGGCTGGCTGGGCCAGCCTGTTGAACAGAGCCATCTTCTCTGCCAAGCTTAGGGTGGACAAATCCGGCTCTGCGTCCCCCTGGCCCTGCTGGGTTTTTGATTTGATTTGATTTACTTGACAATTTAAAAACACAATTATACCACATGTCGATACAATGCATTGAAAAGCATTGAAGAAAACACACATACATTAAAAAACATAATTGTGGTCCTCTTTGGCCGGAAGGCAGGATGGCTTACTGATGATGATACATACACCAGATTATAAATATATAAAAACAATATACATCATTCATCAATACATACATGATTGTCAGGAGGAGAGGAGGTCTGTAGGAGCTTGGAGGAGGTCCGCTGAGCCACCCTCTGGAACTCCAGGGCATTATGGGCCTGCCGCGCCTCCCTGGCCTGCTCCCTGGCTGCAGCACTCTGCTGCGAGGACGCCTGCAGGCTGGGAGGAGGAATTACACCCACAGAGGGGGAGATGGGGGGAGGGAGGGAGAGGGGGAGAGGGAGAAGAACATGAACAGGAAGGCATGCTAGTTCATGCAGGCCAGGGCCATGCTACACAGACATATAGGGGGTACTGTCCAGTGCATAGCCTACAGTGTGGACAAATACAGTATCATAGTATTGGCCGGTTGATAAAGCACCATTTCTGTGCTCCATCTTTTGAGAGGTTGTAGGAGATCCTGGATACCACAAAATTGACAATGGTGTAACAGCATAAAGTATTAGGAAAACAGAAAATAGCGTAATATACGCAACAGATTTAACATGCAAGTTGTTCCCTCAAAATACACAAGGGGGTGCCAAACATCCAAACACCCCACCTGACCTTGTGAGAACAGATTGATGTTTGAAATTTCCACACAGCAAAGGTTAATATAACCACACACAAACACATACTCTGTTTGGACCAAATGCTAGTCAGCTTTCAACAACAACAACATCTCCATCATGGTGATGGATCCAGTAAACAACCAACCATGCATTCAGCCAGTGTACTGTAGCCGTTCTGGTTAGGTTATAGCCTGGTACCAGTTCCGTTTGTGCCGTCTTGCCAACTCTGACCATAGGAGTTAGAAAGACAGCACAAACAGATTTGGAACCAGGCTAATTAGGTTAGTGTGGGTCAGGATAACCCCTGAACTCCCATTGGCTGCTAATACCACACGCGTGTGCTCACTTCCGTGCCCGTGTACCTGTATGGTGTCAGTTTGCTGCTGACTAGAGTGGGGCTAGGGATGCGTGCTACCGCCGTATGGTCCGACACGGTTTGTGACGAAGGAGCAGAGACACTTTACAGTGACAGTATAGAGAGTCACAGACACAGAGGGGACATAGAGTGAGTCATACAGAGACAGAGGTGACAGCAGGAAGAGAGATGGGAGAAGGAGAAGAAGAGATCCAGATGACTATTTTGAATGGGATTCCCCTTTAAAGCTGAGATCCTTGAAAGGTGAAACAGTGCCACGGGGCGACTCAGGCACATTTGTTATTGTTTTTGAAACAGAGAATTTTAGCATCCAGCATTGGTATTAGAATCCAGCATCCAAATCGTACTACATACTCTGTTCTATTGCGCATGCAATGATGTGCAACGATGTTGGGGAAAAAACAGTGTTGTTTGAAGAAACATAATTGTTGTAATATCACAAACGGCTGTGACAGTTTGACCGCTAAGGATTCCAGCTTTACATTAAGGTAGTTCACTTCACAATAGAATAGTGATTATATTGTAAATGGAGTGTTTATAAGCTGCTATAAGCTGTTTATACTGTGTTAAGTGTTAATAAGCTCCTGTGGATCCTTACTACGTTTCAGTGTCAAGCCCTTGGAGAGTCAAACCTGTGTGACTGTTTTAAAGCAAGGTGAAAAGGTAACAGCCGCTTTCTCCATCCTCTTTGTATTAACCAACTGATCGGAACCAGCAGGCAAGTCACAGAGCATGTTCTAAATCAAAACACATTACCTTGCCTGACTGGAGCGGGAATTACTGACTGTGGCTTTCTATCAACAAAACAATGGTTGTCTCACAAATGGGGGGAGGGAGCGAGAGAGAGTGAGCGCAAGGCAGATGGAGGAATGGAGAGGCAGGTGTAGTTTGGACTTACGTGGCAGCGATGACCACCTCCTCAGTAGTGACTGGCTGGGTATGGGAGCGGTCCTGGGTGCGTCTCAGTCGCCTCTCCATGGCCACGTTCCGTGACGGTGGTTTTGGGGCGCCCCCATCCGTGTTCCTCTCCAACTCCTTGGTAGGCCATGCAGGGAGACCAGAGTCATCTTCCATGTTTTCAAACCAATTCAAAGCTCAAACTCTCAGTTTTAAGGGAATAGATTGATACTTCAATAGAAAAGAGTAAAAGAATAGAGAAATCCGTTGGTTTTAGATAATCCAATAGAAAATAAATGAATTCCAATATAATTCAAATACATCGACTAGAGAAATCTGTTCAGTTAACCAGAGCCTCTGGAGTTACCCAAGTACCCAACCAAAATAGGGGAAGAAATGGCTGTTGCAAGGTTTGATTTTGTAAATCTTAAAAATTAGGCATAGAGAGTGAAGGTGGACTTTGTCTTACGATATGAGGAAAGAGTTAATCATGATGTAGCACAAGAAAGCACATGTTCGCCGTGCTTGACCTAGCCCGAGTGCCAGTCTGTTTCTGCTCTCTTGCCAACTCCTAATGGAATTATCATGCAAATGATAGCAATGGAGTTATTACTTGAAACGCTATCTCTGTGTCATTACTATGACTACATCAGCTAATAGCTTTTGACAGTATATTCCACATGCAAGTTGGCCAAGAGAAGATTCTGTATGGAAAATCTGTCTCAATGTTTATGTAGTTGATTAGAATATTTCTCTCTGTCCATCTGTGTCATGCCCAACACCAGCATAGAGTCAACTGCTCAGCTCACATCAGTGTGTGGAGTAACTGAGTCAGAGGACGAATGCTGTGTGTATTTGTGTGCATGAGTGCGTGCATTGCTGCGTGTGTACGTGTGTGTGTGCATGTGCGTGCGTCTAAAAGGCCATGTCCACTTCTTGCTACCCCCAAGCAAGATAAACACAGGTGAGAGAAAACACCAAAGCAACATCGTGTCCTTTCGTACTCTGAAGAGAGAACGCTTGGCTGCAACACTCAGCTTGGCCCGCTCATCCAACTTCTCTTCATCGGCTAGAGAGAGAGACAGAGAGAGAGGGGAAAAAAGTGAGAAAGAGAGGAGAGGAAGAGAGAGAGCAAGATGAATAACACAAGGAAAATTCGAATTCCAAGTGTCTCAAATAGAGCGAGAGTTGGAGAATCTTGAAAACCAATTCCCATAATAAAACAGCATGCTTGAATCCTTTAAAACCTACTTAATTTGTTCCACCGGTAGTGAAGTACTAAATGCCAGTCCAATGGCTGCAAATTGAGTTAGATCTCACAGCTTGTGCTGTGAAGTACTACAGGCCAAAGGTTTATAATCATCATGATGGTCACCATCTGTAATGTCTATAGAACAAAGACAAGCAAAACTTCCATGTGGTGTGAGTGACTGCAGTGTGTTTGGGAAACAGAGCCAGAAATACAGTGTTTCCCCTGTCACTGGCCTACACACAATACCCCATAATGTCAAATTAATAAAACATTTAAAGCTGAGTATTTAGTCCATTTGGTATGGCAAGCCTAAATAAGTTCAGGAGTAAACATTTGCTTAACAAGTCAAATAAGTTGCATGGACTCACTCTGTGTGCCATAATAGTGTTTCACATGATTTTTGAATGACTACCTCATCTCTGTACCCGACACATACAATTATCTGTAAGGTCCCTCAATCGAGCAGTGAATTTCAAACACTGATTCAACCACAACGACAAGGGAGGTTTTCCAATGCCTCACAAAGAAAGTCACCTATTGGTAGATTGGTAAAAATAAAAAAAGCACACATTGAATATCCCTTTGAGCATGGTGACGTTATTAATTACACTTTTAATGGTGTATCAACACACCCAGTCACTATAAAGATACAGGCGTCCTTCCTAACTCAATTGCCGGAGAGGAAGGAAACCGCTCAGGGATTTCACAATGAGGCCAATGGTGACTTTAAAACAGTTACAGCGTTTAACGGCTGTGATAGGAGAAAACTGAGGATGGGTCAACAACATTATAGTTACTCCACACTACTAACCTAATTGACAGAGTATAAAAAAGGAAGCCTGTACAAAATACAAAAATCCTAAAACATGTATCCTGTTTGCAACATGGCACTAAAATTATAAAAAATAATAATGTTTGGGGCAAATCCAATACAACACATTAATGAGTACCACTTTCCATTTGTTCATGCATAGTGGTGGCTGCATTATGTTATGGGTATGCTTGTAATCGTTAAGAACTGGGGTTTTCAGGATACAAAATAAATGGAATGGAGCTAAGCACTGGCAAAATCCTAGAGGAACACCTGGTTCAGTCTGCTTTCCACCAAACACTGGGAGATTAATTCACCTTTCAGCAGGACAATAACCTAAAACACAAGGCCAATCTACACTGGAGTTGCTTACCAGGTCATGGCCAGTTCCCACCACCATCAAGCGCTATGTCAACTCCTGTTCCGTATGTGCCCAAACGAAGACACCTCGGAACACCCCGGAAGGCAAACTATTTCCTCTCCCAGTGCCTCAGCGACCTTGGTCACACGTGTCCATAGACTTTGTCACCGACCTTCCACGTTCTGACGGCTTCACCACAGTCATGGTGGTTGTAGATCGGTTCTCCAAATCATGCCGTTTTTTGCCACTAACTGGTCTTCCTTCTGCTCTCCAGGTCGCTGAGGTCCTGTTCCAACAGGTCTTCCGGCATTATGGACTTCCGGAGGACATCGTCTCGGACCATGGCCCCCAATTCACCTCCCTAGTGTGGAAGGCTTTCCTGGAGAAGATTGGGGCCACGGCCAGCCTCACTTCCGGGTATAGGCCTCAGTCGAATGGGCAGGTGGAGCGCATGAAACAGGAGCTGGGGAGGTTTCTTCATTGCCACTGTCAGGACCGGCAGGGTGAGTGGGCGAGGTTTCTTCCCTGGGCAGAATATGCACAGAACTCCCTCTTTCGCTCCTCTACAGGGCACACTCCCTTCTGGTGCGTCCTGGGGTACCAGACGGCCCTGGCCCCTTGGACACCCAGCCAGACCAATGCGCCCGCTGTCGACGAGTGGTTCCACAGGACCGGACAGGTCTGGGACGCCGCCCATGTCCATCTCCAGAGGGCCATTCGTCGGCAGAAGGACCAAGCTGACCGCCACCGCAGAGAGGCCCCTGTATTCCAGCCTGGAGATCGTGTCTGGCTGTCCACAAAAAACCTCCCTCTCCGCCTGCCCTGCAAGAAACTGAGCCCCCGGTTTGTGGGGCCGTTTAAGGTCCTTTAAGGTCCGGATAAATGAGGTATCATACCGGCTGCTCCATCCCCCTCACTACCGTGTCTCTCCCACTTTTCATGGGTCTCTCCTCAGGCCGGTGGTTCCTGGTCCTCTGGCGGATGCCGTCCCCCGGGGTATGCCTCCTCCACCCCTGGACATTGACGGGAGTCCGGCGTATGCGGTGAGGGGCCTGCTGGTCTCCAGGTTCCGTGGGGGACGGCTCCATTACCTGGTGGACTCAGAGGGGTATGGTCCTGAGGAGAGGAGCTGGATTCCGTCTGGGGATGTTCTGGACCCCAACCTAATTCATGACTTCCACCGTCGCCGCCCTGACTGTCCCGCTGCTCGTCCTCGTCCTCCTGGCCGGCGACGTCCAGCGGCTGGAGCCGCGCGTCCTGGGAGGGGTGGGGGGGTGCTGTCAGGTCTCCTCCCGTTGCTCCCCTCCGGCGCTCTGATTTGCCGGTCTACTGAGCCACCGGTCTGAGCGCACCACCTCGGCAACACCGGAATGGAAACCCAACGCACCCTAATCACCTCCAGCGCACCTGCACCTCATCATCTTATCACCACCCCTATTTAGCCCTGGACTGTTCTGGATGATGTTGTGTGATTGTTTAGCTTTGTGTCGTTTACTCCATTGTTGTTATTGTTAAGTAAACCTTGACCTTGTTAATTCCTGCCTCTGCGTCCTGCCTCTTCGTATACTCAGTACTCGTCACAGTCTGGGGCTGTTTTTCATGGTTCGGGCTAGGCCCCTTCGTTCCAGAAGGGAAATCTTAACGCTACAGCATACAATGACATTCTAGACTATTCTGTGCTTCCAACTTTGTGATAACAGTTTGGGGAAGGCCCTTTCCTATTTCAGCATGACAATGCTCCCGTGCAGAAAGCGAGGTCCATACAGAAATGGTTTGCCGAGATCGGTGTTGAACTTGACCGGCCTACACAGAGCCCTGACCTCAACCCCATCTAACACCTTTGGGATGAATTGGAATGCCGACTGCGAGCCAGGCCTAATCGCCCAGCATCAGTACCCAATCTCACTAATGCTCTTGTGGCTGAATGGAAGCAGGTCCCCTCAGCAATGTTCCAACATCTAGTGGAAAGCCTTCCCAGAAGAGTGGAGGCTGTTATAGCAGCAAAGGGGGTACAACTCCATATTAATGCCCATGATTTTGGATTGAGATATATACTTTTGGTCATGTAGTGTAAGTTTAATTACATTTTACATTTTAGTCATTTAGCAGACGCTCTTACCCAGAGCGACTTACAGCTTAGCGAGTGCATACATTTTCATACTGGCCCCCCGTGGGAAACGAACCCACAACCCTGGCGTTGCAAGCGCCATGCTCTACCAACTGAGCTACAGGGGACTAGATAATGATAAGCCTTGCATCATTAAGCTTTAAATCATTAAAGGGAATCTATTTTCTTTTTTATGAACACTAACATTAAAGTTTATTCGATGGCATGTACTTGTTCAAAGCTAAGCTACAAAGTATTTTTTCCTTTTACCAATGGAGAAAAAGTTCAAAAGGAACTTACCTTCAGTGTTGGGTAGATCTGGGCTCAAACAAGACCTTCAGGAGAAAAGGCAAGGAAGAAAGAAGGCAAGAAAGGAAAAACAAGAACCGAATCAGTGAAATTCACCAGCACACATTATTAATACACAATCAAATCAAGTTGTTGGAAGCTGATGGTAAACTACTGCTAGTGTGAGTACAGCTACCCAGAGATGAGAGATTGAGAGCAGAAAGAAAGCAGTAGGTTTTCCCAGCAGTAGCAACAGAGGTAACATGATAGGTGGTGTTAGGAAATTAAACAGAATGTGTCCCTAATGGCACCCTATTCAGTGCACTTTTGACCAGGGCCCATAGGGTTCTATTCAAATATAGTGCACTATATAGGGAATCGGGTGCCATTTGGGACACATCAACGGAAATCAGAGTTTCTAACAGAGCGAGTTGCCCAATCTAAGGCATTACAGACTGCTAGACTTTAACAGTAAACAACAACAATAGGAATGATTCATTTGCCCTGGCGAGCGTAGAGGTGCGAGCGCTGGTCACATGGTGGGTCCACTGCCAGGATACACTCGGAACCCACGCAACAGACTTTTGGGTTCTAATCTCCTATCACGCTCTGCTGCCCGGCCAGAGAATGTGTGTGTCTATGTTCCTTCAAAGCAGACTAGACCTCTATTGTCTTTATCCATGAGAAAAGATGAGGACTAATTCCTTTTGTTTGCCATGCATTAGCCACGGCACACACAACCCACATTACCAATCAGACCGGTGTCTCTCAGCAGAGGTGATGGGCTGGGTCCTAAACCTCTCTGAGGTATTTCTACTCTCTCCAGGGGAGATGTAGAGTCTGGGCCTGCGCCCCCTGTCCCTGTCCCCCCTCCATGGGAACGCTGTACTGTCCCGCTCCCCTATCCAGGGGACCTCCGTAACCCGTGGGTACACCCATTTTATTTCCTCCTCTCTTTGGGGCGCAACACAGAGACGGAGAAGGGTCGGGCGATGAAGAAAGGAAAGAAAAATAGCAAGGTGAGAGAATGGAAGAAAGAGCAGGAAAATAGTCATTTAAGAAATGCAGCATGATTTTAATTTGTTTCCCACACAGAATCCCAACCCCTGGTTTTATAATTGGAGGAGTAATGAAGGCCACACTCATGCAGAGATTTGATTACTGATTATAATTTTGTGTTAGGCAGCGGATTAGTGAGTTCCAAACAGAGAAGCCAGCAGCAGCTCTTAGCAGAATGCATTGTAGTGCAGCACTGTACTACAGAACCACCTACAGCTCAGGTTTCCTGACGACTGGGGCAGTAGCAGTCGTAGCACTTTCCAGGTAGGAGTGACAAAGCTTGGCCACAGAGATACGAGCGTCCCTGGTCTCCCTGGTCTCTGGGGGGCTCTGGTCTCTATTACTGATCCCATCCTCAATGGCCCCCCTCCGCAGGCCTGCTGCCTCTTTGACTGACCCTGGCTCCTGGGCCCCAAGGATGGAACCTCTAGGGGCCCCATCGGGCCCAGCGTCAGACGTGGAACGGCTGGATGAGATGGAGCCTTCAGTGGTCATGGTGGTGGTGGTTGGGCCTCCTCCCCTGGCCAGGATGTGGGTGGAGGCGGGGGCAACCCCTCTCTGGATGTAGATGGTGTTGTCACTCCACGGTTGTTGGCCCTTCTCCCTGGAGGCGCTGAGCTCTGCTCTGACCTCGGCGGCCTGCAGGAGAGACATGGGTTGTTCCGTTGGTCTGTTTGGTTCGGGGTCTGTGTCCGGTTCCTCCCATCTCATCCTGGTTCTCCCTCCCCCTCCTCCCAACTCAGCCTCCCTCCCCTGTCCCACTCCCTGGCCTCCTCTGGCCCTGCTGTAGCCAGCCTGCTCCTCCTCTCCCCTGTTGCCGGTTCGGGGGCCGCTGCCATGTGGGTCCTCTGTGCTCTTTTCCCTGTGTCTGATCTCCGACGGCAGCACAGCTTTCCTGCTCTTCAGTAGTCCCTCAGTCCTCACCTCCTGTCTGCCCTCCCTAGGGGCTCCCCTCTTCTCCTCTTCTACTTCTCCCTCCATCTCCTCTTCCTCCTCTGGCGGAGGCTGTTGGGGCTGCTGTGCCCTGGAACCGGGGCCAGTGGCCATGGACAGATAGCTGGGGTCTTCACTCTGCCCAGAACAGGTGAGCTGAGGCTGGTGGTGAGAATAGGACTTGGGGCCTGGAGTGTCAGTGGTGGTGTAGGCCGGAGCCTGGGGGTCATGGTGGTAGGCTGTGGCGTGGGTGGTGGTCTGGGGGTGTCTCCTGTACAGGGGGGCCTCGGGGACATGGTGGCCCAGCTCTGGACTCCTCTTTCGGACTCCCTCCTCCCTGGCCAGTCTTTCCCTAACTCTGATTCTTTAGGGAGAGATAGAGGGTTAACAACACGCTCCAGTTTGTACTGAAACTCAACAGAGAGTGCAGAGAGAACAGAGAGATAAATTATGGTAAATGCCCAACACATCCACTTCACTCAGCCACAAACATTCCCTTGCACCCCACCTCCCTTCCCCTCTCTTATTCAAGCGTGGCTCCATTTAGAGAAAACTGTCAAAATGTCATCAACAATATATCCCAGAAATATGAATGTAATACCATCTGACCAGTGAGATACTAATGAGAAACACATGATGAACAACAAGTTACCAAACTAAAACAAACAGGGAATCAATAGGCTGCAGAGCACAAACAGACCACATGCTGGATGATGGTGGGGGTTGGTTGGTTGGTTGACAACACGCTAGGCTATAGTTGTTGCCAGGTGGTGGCTAATGCTTTTCCAACAGTAGCTAAATATAGAACAGTAGCTCTTTCCTATAAGACTTGTCTGTGATGATTGTGTGGTTCTGGGAGAGTTAAAACTCTCGGTTAATCTCTCTGTAGGGCAGCTAGCATATGGCATAAAAACACTCAGCTCTTTGCCATTTTCCTATAGTACATCTAAGATGTTCCTGGGACAGGACAGGTCAGAGCGCCCTCTCCTTCTCTTCCTTTCTCTTTTCACTGGTCTCTACTATTCAAGGTCCGGGAAGATTCTTCCACAACAGTCTTCCACAGCTGAGCAGGCCTGGGCCTGGATTCACATAGCATATCTTCAGAAGAAATATCTTCTTAACTGCAATTTTTTCCTTAAAGGCCCAGTGCAGTCAACAACATGATTTTCCTGTGTTTTAATAATACTGTTGGAATAATACTGTGAAATTGTGAAAATAATGATAATGCGCTTTTAGTGTAAGAGCCTGCATGAAATTTCAGCCTGTTTTGGTGGGATGGGAGCTTTGGCCTCGCTGGGGACATCACCGGGCAGTAAATTAGTCAGACCAATGAGAGAGTTCCAAACCTCCCTTCCATTAACATATTTTTCAGTTTTCCCCTTCCTAACTCAGGCAGTCCTAACAAATATATCGCTTTGACCATTTTAATTGAAAACAAATCACAGTAAGGTACGTAATTGTTGCCCAGAAATGATTTGATATCGAGATGAAAACACCTTTAACTATACATTTACACTATAGACTTATGAGGAAAGTTAAGCAAAGTTGCCATTTCTCGTTTTAGATTGCGTTTTGTGAATCTGGTGGGCAACAGGGCCTAGGCCTGGCTGTGGCAAGTTAGCTCAGTCTTCTTTTCTCCTCATCTCTGAACGACACATTCCTTTATGAGTAAATCCAGTAGCCATAGCTAGAGGTTCAGCTGTTCTTTATTTAGTTAGGCTAACAATTCTAGGCTGATATCTGATTATACTGCAGAGCAACAGACACTGCGTGACTTTACTGATAACCCCCTCACTTGTGTATTTACAACCCATTTGTGACTTGAACCTGATAATAGGTTTAGTGGGTCAGAAATGGTCTACTATAATAACAAAGACCTGTCAATGTCATGAATATAGACATCTAGTCAGCATAACTCTACTGGACTCCGTTGTCTGTCTGTAATCACAAGGTTGCTACTGCTTTGAGCCCAGATCCAATGATCTGATTGTTCAAATCTAGAAAAAGGAAATGAAGAAGAGCAAATGGAGCTAACAGCAATAATTTTTCCAGCTCTAATTACCAATTTATCTGACTGTGTGTGGGCCTGAGGGAGAGAGGATACAGTACTGGATATATCTGCTGAGTAAAGACAGAGGAGCGGGGGATGAGTCGTGACTAAAGGGTTTTCTCCCACTGTCTGACTCCCAGCATCATCCTCCCCTCTCTCTCTCCCTCAGTCTGGCCTAGTCAGCAGAGAAACAGGGAGTAACAGAGTTCTGCAATAGAACACTTACTGTAAGTAACTCTACAACTCTATAAGTCATTGAGATATAAATGTCTGTAGAGTCATTGGACAGCCTGAATGGGGGCAGGGAGGTGAAACATTTGGTCAATGAAATTAAACCACAGCAACACCCATTAATGTTGATGGTGGGTGAGGTCAGAGGTCACATGCGACAATGCCATGATGGGATAGGTTAAGAGATGGGAATGTGGAGGGGAGGGAGGGAGGGTCAGACACACCCTGTACCTGGAGGGCCAGTTGATAAGGGACTGGGTGTTGCCCGCCGAATCAGTCTGGAGGAACCAATCGCTGGTTGGTTTCACTTCCGGGCTGTACCAATGGGACGGGAAATGCAGTGAGTCAGCGACTATGTCCAAACTGGCACCCTACTATTCCCATGTAGTGCACTACGTTTGACCAGAGCCCTATGGAGCTCTGGTCAAAAGTAGTGCACTATATAGAGAATAGGGTGTACTTTTGGACACACACTGGATGAGTGAGTGGCTAGCGGCTAGACTGCCCAGTGTTTCACTTGTAGCACACACATGATTGACTTCACATTGTACTTGACCAAAAAATACCATCCTTCTGCCTGGATATCCCATTCTCTAGTAGTCTAGTGAGAGCTCTTATGAATCTGGTATTTGGAGAGATGTCAACAAATGATGAAATATCAAACAATAAATGAACATACTGTACATCAATTGGGGCTTATGAAAATAATAGGACCATACAGACCAGTGGAGGCTTTTGAGGGGAGAACAGCTCATAATAATGATTGGAACGGAGCAAATGGAATGGCATCAAACCATGTGCTTGATGCATTTGATACCATTCCACTGATTCCATTCCAGCCATTACCACAAGCCCGTCCTCCCCAATTAAGGTGCCACCAACCTCCTGTAATACAGACATAACACAAACAGCAGCATGTATTGCAATGCACACAGTGTACTGTACATGTTCAGTGCCTTCATAATAAGTTGCATGGACTCACTCTGCATGCAATAATATTGGTTAACATGATTTTTGAATAACTACCCCACACATACAATTATCTCTAAGGTCCCTCAGTCAAGTAGTGAATTTCAAGCACATATTCAACCAGTCCAGGAAGGTTTTCCAATGCCTCGCAAAGAAGGGCACCGCTTGGAAGAAAGATTTTAAAAAAGCAGAATGAATATCGCTTTGAGCATGATGAAGTTATTAATAAGGCTTTGGATGGTGTATTTATACACTGTGGCATTAAAGATACAGGCGTCCTTCCCAACTCAGTTGCCATAGAGTAAGGAAACTGCTCAGGGATTTCACCATAAGGCAATAGTAATTTTAAATTACAGTTTAATGGCTTTAATGCAACAAAACATGGAAAAAGTCAAGGGGGTTGAATACTTTATGAAGGCACTGTATATGGGAAAGTATAGGTATACATTCAACTGATGTAGCCTATTGTGTACAATGCACGTGCATGATTTGGTCCTAAAGAAGGAAGGCAAAAATCCCAGCGTAGTCCTGTCCCATGTGGCTACATAGTATATGAACTTCCTTATCTGTCCTACCAGATATCCAGAGCCATGCCCTCTCTCTCACCCAGCAGAGGGCAACAACATGTGACTCAGATGGTCTCTATGGGGCCTGAACAAAAGCCAGGACTGAGTCATAACTTCCTAGTAAAGAGGGCTGTGCTGGACTGTGAATAGGCATATGACTTCTATATATTCTATACACAAAGGAGAGATGTTTAAATAAATAGTCATGTCTTTCTGTAGAGGAGAACAAAAGGAAGAAAGCAGGGTGTCGCGGGACGATATGTGACCGACCGGCTCGGTCCTATGTAGGAAAATTTGAAATTGTGTTTTTTACATTGGATAAAAGTAGAGACTCAGAGCTAGAAAATGGTATATCATACACTGCAGTTGAAGAACAATGGGAAAGTAATTCTGCTTTGAAAATTGATCAACTTGTAACCCCACTTTTGAGAAAATGGCCGTTGAATGTTTTGGTACACCTACAGGAGAGCTCTTCTTTGTCTACACCATTCAGCATCGTTCACACCCTCTTAAGCCTTAGCCCCACCCTTTAATAATTCACATGTGAGGCCATGTGCTAAACAGAGTGAGTAAGATAGTGTAGTAAACAACCAAAGATTTCTAAAGATTTCAAAAATACACTTTATATAGTCCTTGGAGTGACAGAGACAGACAGAGACAGAGACAGAGACAGAGGAAAGCAAATGAGTGACAGACCACTAGCCCTCTGCTCCATGTCCTAAACCCTAAACTCTTTCTCCAGGCGGGCAGTTTGGCATGGTGTTGCTGGCCTTCATCAGTCCCAGCTGTGTCTCTGTATGCTGTCATAGTTCTGACTGAGGAGTCACACAGTGCGCCCCCTAACCAAACACCCCTCCTGATGGCTAACACAACACAGCTGCTGGCAAGTTTTGAAACCCGATAGTGAGAGACAGAGAGAGCGACAGACACAGAGAGCGACACGGAGACACAGACAGAATGAAAGCGAGACAGAGTGAAAGAGAGAGACAGAGTGAAAGACAGAGAGAAAGACAGACGGACAGATGAGGGAGAGAGAAATGCCTGGTGGGATGTGGAATCTAACTGTCCCCCTTAGTTAGTCAACATTTAGTACCAGCAGGGTACAGCTAGGCCAAGAGCTGGCTGTTTAAATAAGACTGAGGGACTGAGGGGAGGAGTATGAAGAGCACTGGAGAGAACATTGGAAAATGCAATGTCTCCAGACACAGAACTGCATTGGCCAGGACTGTGAATCCCAAATGAAATATCCCTTAACTATTTGGTGGGGACATTAACATTGAGAGTGCCATTTCTTAGAACATGACACCATTACAGTTTCACCTCCTGAAATAAAGGAAATAAAGGGATTTGGGTGACTTTGGCTCAGTCATAGTGGGATAACAACTTTGCAATTATAGTAGATTCTTAATATAATTTTGACTTCAACTAAGCACCAAAGCAGCTCCTTTTATCTAGTCTAACTTATCAGCTTAATCGTACAGGTTGCTGTTAAACCACCTGAACATGAAAGACATGCAGCAGCACCATCAATGCCTGATCTGAGTTCAGTTCAGATTTCAGTCCTCCCAGGCCCAGCTGCGTCTGTTTGAACCCTTTTGGACCAACTGAGCCTGCCTGCGCTGCACTTTAATTCCACTCCAGACAACTGCTCTGGGATCAGATTGCTGTTTCTTTACTGTATGAAATAATGTGTGCATCCCAAAGGGTACCCTATTCCCTATATAGTGCACTACTTTGGACCAGTGGTGTCAAAAATAGCGCACTATATAGGGAATAGGGTGCCATTTGGGACACATTCAATGTTCCTGCCAAGAGGACGACTTTGTGAGGGGGCGAGCGATGAGTGGACTGCAAGCCTAATGGATGGTGTGTCATCTTCCAGTCCCAAACGCAGCCCACCCATCCTTCCATAGGAGGACACACACGGGAGCGTCTCCTCACGCACACGCTAACGCACAAACACACAGTCACACGCTAACATAGGGCCGGGGTCAGAGAGGAGGACAGGCTCTGGGCTGGAGATGAGCACAGACCCTCTAGTTCTGTTAAAGGCATCAAGGAGACGCAGTTTGTGTGTGTGTGTGTGTGTGTGTGTGTGTGTGTGTGTGAGAGAGGGAGATACAGAGACCATCTCTTTCTCTCCATCTGTTTTGTTTACAGTAAGGGGACAGAGATACTGTACATAGAGAGAAAGAAAGAGAGAGGTGTAGAAGGTAGGGCCACTAACCCCTTTCTGCTGAGGATGTTGTGGGACTGTTGCTCTATGAACAGGTCCCCAGGGGACACCTCCTGTTTGGGGGAGGGCAGCAAGGACTTCCGGCCCGTCTTGGGCGAGCTGGGGGGCAACCCCATGATGGTGTAGTCCTTAGCAACGGGCACTTTGGCCGAGGTCGATGACGTCACATCCATGTAGGTGGAGGAAGATGGCTGCTGTGGCTCGGGGGCTTTGACGTTCCTCTCCTGCTGAGCCGCCCTGCGCTGGTTCTCCAGGTTCCCCACCCTCTCCCTCTCCGTGAATGAGTCCACCCTGGGTCGCCCCTGGCCAGGCTCGCCGTAAACCCTTGGCTGGGGGGCCACTCTCCCCACCCTGTTGCTGCTGGATGTGTAGGAGGGTTCATCCCCCACAGACTCTGCCCTGCAGCGTATTTCGGGGTGTGTGTAGCCCTGTTGCCTCTCAGAGGAAGACGCCAACTCACTGTGTCCACTGGAGGTGCCGTATCGGGAAAATAAGTGGTCGGTGGCAATGGTGTCTGGCTCTTGGTCCAGCGAGATGCCATAGCGCTCGGCCAGCTGGCGACGCCTTTCCGCCTTGTAGCGGGCAATCCGCTCCACCTTGGAGTCCAGGTCGGTACCAGCAGGGTCTGTGGGTTCGGTGAGGACGGTCTGGGTGTGTTCCTCGGGTCGGCACCGGGCTCTGGACTGCCTCTCTGGAGCAGTGACCTGCTGATGGGTCATCATCTCTGGACTCTCCATGTCCTCCTTACTGTAACATTGTACTGTGACTGGGGATAGAGTGAGAGACCCTTACTGCTTTAGACTATTACAGTATGTAGGACTAAAACACTACGCAAGTAATATATAATGCATGATGTCAATGCATATCTTGCAACTGATTTAATACTGTAAGCAATTATTGACCAAATTCATATTCAAAAGCATGGGTCAGGTTTCTTTATTGATATGCTATATGGAGCTCTAACTATGCTCTAGTTCTGTCATTCTGTGGGCTGCGTAAGTAGCTGATGCAGCCATGTAGGAACTCCAGGTACAATTTGTTCTGTTTAGTGACTGGTAGATTGTGTATTCTGTTGTGCCTAGGTGTCCTTGTCCTCACTGACACAGGGTACTCTATAGTGTGTCCTCACCAACACAGGGGTCACAGGTGTCTGAGGCACGTGTGTAACGGGGCGTGTCTTCCTCTAGCAGCCGATTGGTCACCAGGCCTGGGCTGCTGGGTAATATGGCGGGTTGCACTTCGCTCTCTATGCCTTCCAACCGCCGGGCAATCCTCTCCTTCCTGCACAGTGAGACACAGAGTCAGATACACACACAGTGACACACACAAGTTCTCATTTATCACAATTCATTACATGGTTGATGGAGCTGAATGTCTCGGTTGTACCTGTTCATTTCCCAGTCACAGCTAGTGGTAGGGCTGATGCCTTCAAAACGCTTCCTCAATTCTGAAACTGGACAGATGAAAAACACACAGGTACGTTAAACAGGATACAACTGGAAAGTAGTCCAAGTTTATTCAATTCAGTAGTCATTATAAGAGAGCGAGAGACGTCACAGCAGATGAGGTTGGACAGTTTAAGCTCACATTAGCCAACAGAGTTTACTGTAATTCAAACCGATCTGGGACAGGCTACTGTCACATCTAGAACAAGAATAGATCTCGGTTTGCTTGTGGGTCTTGTTATTGAACTATAAGGAGGTGACGATTCCTTCAGTAGCCTACTCTGTTCTCTACAACACAGTGACAAATTGCTGAGACACACATTCACAAGGAACTGACCAAATCTGCATCCCACCTCGACAATAAAAGATAATAGAAAGAGTCCAATCTGCCACTGACTAATTGACTTAGCGAAATAAGTGGTTACATTGAATCTTTCATGTGATTGATCTTAAAATAATGAGCCCACCTAGTGCCTACATAGAGACCAAAAGATCACACAGAATTCACCCAAACCCATAGGCTGTGTTTACACAGGAAGCCCAATTCTGATCTTTTGGGCAATTATTAGTGAAAGATCTAATCTGATTGGTCAAAAGACCAATTACAGGCCAAAATATCAGAATTGATCAGCCTGTGTAAACGCAGCCAGAGCAGGGCAGTCAGGTAATGGCCTATTGGGTTGGATTGAACCAGACTGCCCCTCTAGGAGGACAGACAGACAGAGTCCTATCCCATGAGCTAGTAGGAAAGGAGTTGCACTGTAGTCAGGATAAACAGAACAGCCCAGTCTAGAGCTTGTTATGCGTGTTACTGCTGGACAACACATGTAATAGAGCAACTTTTTAATACACAACAGAAACAAAACAAGCAAACCAAACACACACTCCAAGTGCCATGTGCCCTGGCCTCTCTGACTGTGTGAGCACACACTGAGGGTCTAGCAGACATGACATTAAACTGAAAATGTCACCTAAAATTATCGACACCGACCAAACAGACCACTTATCGTGGACATTTGCTGATATCGTTTATTATGATAAATAACCTATAGAGTCCTACTAGAGAAATGTGAAGTTTGAATTTAAATACGTTTTCTAATATGGGTGATTGTTAATGGAACAATTGATAGCTACAACATTCAATGTAGTAGTAGAAGTTTAAGGGTAATATAAATAAATAACTGTGGTGCACATTCATGGTATAAACTTAACGTTCTATTTATCGTTATCGTGATAATTCAGTCAATTTATTGTGATATGGATCGCCCAGGGCCCGGTTTCCCGACAGCGATGGAACTTAGTTGTACAAGTGTTTTAACGATGCATTTTCCTACAACAGCCGCAGAGAGAACGGTCGCTAAGTGCATCGTTGGAGCATGTGTCGATACTGATAGGATCGAAAGAAAGGGAGCGCTGCTCTTGGATCAGCTTTCTTCATTCAAATCTTTCCTTAGCATTACAATTATTTCACAATACTGACAACATCAGCTCCTAGAGATATTACTACCTACAGCTGCAAATATTGAGGCAGCTTATTCTATGCTTACCCAATAAAAATTCACTAAAATCCCAGATTTGGCACATCATTGCACACATGTTAGGCTACTCATCAATAAATATATTGAGACAAATTACAGAAAGTAGCCTACAAGTAGCAAAATAGAACAATTGATTGAATATGAAATGTATTTCAATATGATTGAAATAGGCCTATAGCCTACTGTCTATAATTTAATGCAATCATCTCGGTTTTCATTTGAAACATATTTTTATACATTGCTTCTATGTAACACTTGCAATGAGAACGTTGTATTTGTAGTCAACTTTGTTCTGAAGTTATCGGATGTCACAGAGAGATGGATAAAACATGTGATTCTATGTTTAGCGGAGAACTTGTGTATAAAGTCATGTGGGAGGGCAAAAAAAGCATCTAACAACACACTTAGCTGTTCTACGAGTGGTCTGAGGCAGGCATTAGATTACGAACGTTTTGAAGTGCCCAAAAGGGCTCTGGTCAAAAGTAGTGCACTATGTAGAGAAAAGGGTGCCATTTGAGATGGAGCCTTTGTCAGATGGAGTCATGTGTTTCATGCGGCACAGCATGCTGAAACAGAAAGCCCTGAGTCACCTTTAGGGAGGCTTGCCAAGAGATTGATATCTATATCCTTGGTGTTCTTGGCCGGGTCGTCCTTCTCTTCGAACGAGAACACTTTCTGGAAGCTGCAGGGGGGGCATAAATAAAAACAGAACAGCTCAGTCAGTCAGAACCAATTATGTATCTAAACAATAGTATGCTGAATGCTATGTATTGGCCAATGAGAGGCTTTGAAGCCACCGGTCAGCCATATTGGCTCTCCTCAGAAGAAAGCAGTCCTCCTAGTCAGACTGTTCTCTCTGCTACCGCACGCAAGCGGTACGGAGGCCAGTCAGGTCAAATTCATACTCCTGAACAGTAATCATGGCTACCCGGACATTGCACTGCCCCCCACCATCCTTTTACGCTCTGTCTCTGTAATTTATCATAGTCACTTAAACTCTACCCATGTAATATGCTCACTGCCTCAACTGTCCCCGAATGACAAACGGGCCCCTGTATATATCAGCACTGTCACTTAATTCATGTATATAAGTCCTACGCAACTTTATTTTTACTTTCTCTTTTTCTCAACACTTTTTGTTGTTGTTTATACTTTTTGTTAAAATAATCATGTTGGTAAGGCTGTAAGAGCATTCAACTGTAAACTGTGATCATGTGAATAAATTTGATTGATTGATCCATAGAATGATAATTCTACAGTATTTCATTAACTCAGCAAAAAAGAAACACTGTCACGCGTTACTTCAGCACTAACAGTGAATATGTGTATGAACTAACAGATTCACACTGAGACAAACTGACAGTTCCACAGACTGTGACTAACAAGGGAGGGGGGTCAAAATCACAAGTAACGTCAGGTCTCTGGGTGTGGCTCACCAGTGCATTAAGTAATGCAGTGCATTCCTCTAATGGACCACTGCACCAGATTTGCCAGTTCTTGATGTGAGCTGTTACCCAATTATTCCACCAAGGCACTTGCAAGTTCCCGGACATTTCTGGGGGGAATGACCCTAGTCTTCACCCTCCGATCCAACAGGTCCCAGACGTGCTCAATGGGAATGAGATCCGGGCTCTTCGCTGGCCATGGCAGAACACTGACATTCCTGTCTTGCAGGAAATCACGCACAGAACGAGCAGTATGGCTGGTGGCATTGTCATGCTGGAGGGTCATGCCAGGATGAGCCTGCAGGAAGGGTACCACATGAGGGAGGAGGATGTCTTCCCTGTTACGCACAGCGTTGAGATTGCCTGCAATGACAACCAGCTCAGTCTGATGATGTTGTGACAAACCACCCCAGACCATGACGGACACTCCACCTCCAAATCGATCCCGCTCCAGAGTACAAGCCTCGGGTGTAACGCTCATTCCTTCGACGATAAACGCGAATCCAACCATCACCCCTGGTGAGACAAAACCGCGACTCGTCAGTGAAGAGCACTTTTTGCCAGTCCTGTCTGGTCCAGCGACGGTGGGTTCGTGCCCATAGGTGACGTTGTTGCCGGTGATGTCTGGTGAGGACCTGCCTTACAACAGGCCTACAAGCCCTGAGTCCAGCCTCTCTCAGCCTATTGCGGACAGTCTGAGCACTGATGGAGGGATTGTGCGTTCCTGGTGTAACTTGGGCAGTTGTTGTTGCCATCCTGTACCTGTCCCGCAGGTGTGACGTTCAGATGTACCGATCCTGTGCAGGTGTTGTTACACGTGGTCTGTCACTGTGAGTACGATCAGCTGTCCGTCCTGTCTCCCTGTAGCGCTGTCTTAGGCGTCTCACAATACGGACATTGCAATTTATTGCCCTGGCCACATCTGCAGTCCTCATGCCTCCTTGCAGCATGCCTAAGGCACGTTCACGCAGATGAGCAGGGACCCTGGGCATCTTTCTTTTGTTGTTTTTCAGAGTCAGTAGAAAGGCCTCTTTAATGTCCTATGTTTTCATAACTGTGACCTTAATTGCCTACCGTCTGTAAGCTGTTAGTGTCTTAACGACTGTTCCACAGGTACATGTTCATTAATTGTTAATGGTTCATTGAAAAAGCATGGGAAACAGGGTTTAAACCCTTTACAATGAAGATCTGTGAAGTTATTTTGATTTTTACAAATTATCTTTGAAAGACAGGGTCCTGAAAAAGGGACGTTTCTTTTTTTTTGCTGAGTTTATGTTAAGGACAAAATTACATGTATTTAAGTATTTTGTTGTGGTAGTGGGAACAGTAACATTAGTGCTCTCATAAAAAATAGTTTTTCTATATTTAAATGTTTTTATTTGAATGTTTAGCTCACATAATATAAGTATACTTTAAGGCGTCTGTAACAGAATAAATGTGGCAAAAACAAAATGTAACATTAATAAATGCATTTCTACTGCTTCCAAAATATTTTGTACGAATGGTGGGGGAGTAGTAAAATAGTGGCGCAGCGGTTTCAAATCAGCGCCCCCCTGTCAGTCATCTAGTGTATACAGTATATAAATCATTGGTCAGAACAATGTCCATGGGTTAATTTCAGTAAGCAGAAATGAACAATGTCATTATATTCTGGTTGTATCTCAAATGGCACCCTATTCCCTATAGTGCACCACCCAAAAGTATTGATATTAGTGGTGCACTATTTAGGGAATAGGGTGTCATTTGGGACGCACACTCACACAAATGCACTGAAAACAAATGCACTGAAAGAGGAATCATTGGCTGGGTTAGAAAAAGGGGAACTGGATTCTCAGAGGTCATGAGGACATCCAAATGTTTAAAAAATATATTTGGAAGAAAGATTGTTTTGAAACACGTTCAATAATCTAAATAGCCGACCAGTGAATCTTGACCCAAGTTGTTCCTATTCGCAACTAAAATAGGTAATTAATTATCAAAACTATGTGCATTTATTTTCAGTAATAGGCTTATTACATCAAGGTCGTAGACGTAGATCCTGTTGATCTATTCACACTGACTCAAATCTACGACACTAACACACTAAGACCTGTTACGTCTATTGTTGCAAAGCATTACGATAGGAAAATAACACCCTTGAAAATATCTAGGAGGGCCGTTTGTAATAGTGTGGGTTGGACTTCTTCACCGCAAACCAGTTGTGGTATGAAATATACAACAAGACTATCTGAAGGAAGGGGCCGTTGAGAAGAGGAACACATCCTTTTGGGTTTTGGCAGATGAACTAGCACATTACATGGCAAAGAACACATGACACACCCATTTTTCTGAAGTATTTAATCATTTGAGTAAAGGATGACACAAACATAATGGACAACCAATAACTCTCATAAACAGATACCGTAAACGTATGCAGAGCTGTGGAGTCATGGGTGGCAGCGGGGTGGAATATTTGACACCAGGCCAAAACGTTGACTCAATGCAATCACACCAATGCTGCAGTGGCGTTCACACTAGAGTGACCTTATCCTTCACTTTCTCACTTCGCTTGGAAACTGTCCCAATGGGAATGATGTGTAACGTACACACAGACACCCACGGCAGCAAAGCGGCATACACAGGCTGAAGAGAGACTATTAGACGCGCAATGATACCGTATACAGAACCGAAACAATACACAAATATTGATATTATCCGTGAAAAAAATGGCATCTTACCTAAGAGCCCTCTTCTGTAAAAGTCTTGCCTTCCCAAGTTTGATGGGGGTCTCACTCCCAAGTCCTAGAGAGAAGGAGAGAGAAAACATAATTTAGACTATTAGACCATACTCAGAGTTCTTCATCACTTGAGTGAAGGGAGTGAGGCCATTTTGAATGGTCCAACTTTACACTTTTTAATGACCAAACATTAAAAAGAGTGTATTAGAGGCGTCTTAAGGTAATTCAGCAACATTTCTCTATGTATGACATTAATCAAGTGGACTTGCAATACCACAGAGGAAATAAATGAATACATTGGAAAACTAAAACCTGTTTTATTGAACCATGTTGACCAATAAGAGATGTGTGCAGCCTTTGGGTTTTAATAACGAGAGCAATGTGTAAGTGAGTGCATCCCAAATGGCACCTATTCCCTATATAACGCAGTACTTTTCAACAGAGCCCTATGGGCCCTGGCATTAAATTAGTGGTGCACTACATAGGGAATAGAGTGGCAATTGGGATGCAGCCTGGTGTTTATTTGAACATGAAACCAGGTGAGTTCAGACAGCTATCTCACAAAGACGTGCGCACGCGCACACACACACACACACACACACACACACACACACACACACACACTAAATTGCGGTACAGATCTTTCTAAAGTGGCTTGTCGCTATGATGTCACAGCTCAAGGCGATAGATGTTTGATTACTTTTAATTGAGACTAATGGATGCTTTAAGTCTGATCACACTAAGTGTTGTTGTTCACTAGTTTACTCCAATTAGGGAAGGGGTGGTGGGGTTGGAAAGTAATAAAGGGAAATATATTTTTAAAAAGGATATGTATATATATGTATTTATATGTACATATGTGTATATGCATGTGTATGTATGTATATGTATATACACTACCGTTCAAAAGTTTAGGGTCACTTAGAACTTTCCTTGTTTTCGAAAGAAAATCAATTTCTTTGTCCATTAAAATAACATAAACTTGATCAGAAATACAGTGTAAACATTGTTAATGTTGTAAATGGCTATTGTAGCTGGAAACGGCTGATTTTTAATGGAATATCTACATAGGCGTACAGAGGCCCATTATCAACAACCATCAGTCCTGTGTTCCAATGGCACGTTGTGTTTGCTAATCCAAGTTGATCATTTTAAAATGCTAATTGATCATTAGAAAACCCTTTTGCAATTATGTTTGCACAGCTGAAAACTGTTGTGCTGATTAAAGAAGCAATAAAACTGGCCTTCTGAGCAAGAGGACAAAAACATTAGTGTCTAGTTTGAGAAACAGGCGCCTCACAGGTCCTCAACTGGCATCTTCATTAAATAGTACCCGCAAAACACCAGTCTCAACGTCAACAGTGAAGAGGCGACTCCAGGATGCTGACCTTCTAGGCAGAGTTGCAAAGAAAAAGCCATATCTCAGACTGCCCATCTTAATCTTTTATTTTTATTGGCCAGTCTGAGATATGGCTTTTTCTTTGCAACTCTGCCTAGAAGGTCAGCATCCCGGAGTCGCCTCTTCACTGTTGACGTTGAGACTGGTGTTTTGCGGGTACTATTTAATGAAGCTGCCAGTTGAGGACCTGTGAGGTGAGATCTTCAGTTTCTTGGCAATTTCTCGCATCGAATAGCCTTCATTTCTCAGAACAAGAATAGACTGACGAGTTTCAGAAGAAAGTTATTTGTTTCTGGCCATTTTGATCCTGTAATCGAACCCACAATTGCTGATGCTCCAGATACTCAACTAGTCTCAAGAAGGCCAGTTTTATTGCTTCTTTAAATCAGCACAACAGTTTTCAGCTGTGCTAATATAATTGCAAAAGGGTTTTCTAATGATCAATTAGCCTTTTAAAATGATAAACTTGGATTAGCAAACACAACGTACCATTGGAACACAGGACTGATGGTTGCTGATAATGGGCCTCTGTACGCCTATGTAGACATTCCATTAAAAATCAGCCGTTTCCAGCTACAATAGCCATTTACAACATTAACAATGTCTACACTGTATTTCTGATCAATTTGATGTTATTTTAAAGGACAATTATTTATTTATTTCTAAAACAAGGATATTTCTATGTGACCCTAAACGTTTGAACGGTAGTGTATATATATATATATATATATATATATATATTTGCGAGGGAAAAAAACATGAGGGATTGGAAGTGATTCAGACAATTACATTGATGGAAGTTACAATCTATCAGCAATATTAAAGCTGATCTACCCCACCCCCCAAAAAAAATTATACAAATAAAATAACAAGTCTGATCACACTTAGGGCTGGCACAATTACGTATAAACCATATAACTGACAGTTATGGATGAAGACAGTCATGAAAATAAAATAACTGCCATAATGTGTAATGTTTATGTCCAATAGCCGATGAGCACTGATACGTTTGATCTACAATTTCTCTTCATATGACATGATGATGACTGCTTGTCTAGCTTGCTAGCTAAGATTTTGAAAGTATGATGTTGATATGAACAGTCCAAACAAAGCTACGGTAAATATATATTTTATCTGTGGCCAATGACCTTGAGCCTTCTTGGATGGGCACTTCTAATGTAACTATGGCAGCACCCAAAGGGCTTGAATTTTTGCGCTCTCCACGTAGATTTCGCACGGCGCAACTAGAGAACATTACCAACCCCTACACTCTGTATTTTCTGCTGGCTGCCCCACCACCACTGAAATCACTGAGCTAGGCTGAAACACCTGCATTTTGGAGCGGCCTTACTCAAGAAACCAAAAATATATACCATGTCTGTTTGCGGCTTTATTAACTCAATATATTTTTTTTTACATTGTTTGCAAACTGATATGTGACACTTATTAATGCCAAAATAACATGCAAAACAGGCAAAAAAAGTAATATTAACACACACACATACAGTGGGGAGAACAAGTATTTGATACACTGCCGATTTTGCAGGTTTTCCTACTTACAAAGCATGTAGAGGTCTGTAATTTTTATCATAGGTACACTTCAACTGTGAGAGACGGAATCTAAAACAAAAATCCAGAAAATCACATTGTATGATTTTTAAGTAATTCATTTGCATTTTATTGCATGACATAAGTATTTGATCACCTACCAACCAGTAAGAATTCCGGCTCTCACAGACCTGTTAGTTTTTCTTTAAGAAGCCCTCCTGTTCTCCACTCATTACCTGTATTAACTGCACCTGTTTGAACTCGTTACCTGTATAAAAGACACCTGTCCACACACTCAATCAAACAGACTCCAACCTCTCCACAATGGCCAATACCAGCAAGCTGTGTAAGGACATCAGGGATAAAATTGTAGACCTGCACAAGGCTGAGATGGGCTACAGGACAATAGGCAAGCAGCTTGGTGAGGAGGCAACAACTGTTGGCGCAATTATTAGAAAATGGAAGAAGTTCAAGATGACGGTCAATCACCCTCGGTCTGGGGCTCCATGCAAGATGGTCCTCTGTAGCTCAGCTGGTAGAGCACGGCGCTTGTAACGCCAAGGTAGTGGGTTTGATCCCCGGGACCACCCATACACAAAAATGTATGCACGCACGACTGTAAGTCGCTTTGGATAAAAGCGTCTGCTAAATGGCATATTATTATTATCTCACCTCGTGGGGCATCAATGATCATGAGGAAGGTGAGGGATCCGCCCAGAACTACACGGCAGGACCTGGTCAATGACCTGAAGAGAGCTGGGACCACAGTCTAAAAGACAACCATTAGTAACACACTACGCCGTCATGGATTAAAATCCTGCAGCACACGCAAGGACCCCCTGCTCAAGCCAGCGCATGTCCAGGCCCGTCTGAAGTTTGCCAATGACCATCTGGATGATCCAGAGGAGGAATGGGAGAAGGTCATGTGGTCTGATGAGACAAAAATTGAGCTTTTTGGTCTAAACTCCACTCGCCGTGTTTGGAGGAAGAAGAAGGATGAGTACAACCCCAAGAACACCATCCCAACCGTGAAGCATGGAGGTGAAAACATCATTCTTTGGGGATGCTTTTCTGCAAAGGGGACAGGACGACTGCACCGTATTGAGGGGAGGATGGATGGGGCCATGTATCGCGAGATCTTGGCCAACAACCTCCTTCCCTCAGTAAGAGCATTGAAGATGGGTCGTGGCTGGGCCTTCCAGCATGATAACGACCCGAAACACACAGCCAGGGCAACTAAGGAGTGGCTCCGTAAGAAGCATCTCAAGGTCCTGGAGTGGCCTAGCCAGTCTCCAGACCTGAACCCTTTGGAGGGAGCTGAAAGTCCGTATTGCCCAGCGACAGCCCCGAAACCTGAAGGATCTGGAGAAGGTCTGTATGGAGGAGTGGGCCAAAATCCCTGCTGCAGTGTGTGCAAACCTGGTCAAGACCTACAGGAAACGTATGATCTCTGTAATTGCAAACAAAGGTTTCTGTACCAAATATTAAGTTCTGCATTTCTGATGTATCAAATACTTATGTCATGCAATAAAATGCAAATGAATTACTTAAAAATCATACAACGTGATTTTCTGGATTTTTGTTTTAGATTCCGTCTCTCACAGTTGAAGTGTACCTATGATAAAAATTACAGACCTCTACATGCTTTGTAAGTAGGAAAACCTGCAAAATCGGCAGTGTATAAAATACTTGTTCTCCCCACTGTATATATACATATACAGTGAGGGAAAAAAGTATTTGATCCCCTGCTGATTTTGTACGTTTGCCCACTGACAAAGACATGATCAGTCTATCATTTTAATGGTAGGTTTATTTGAACAGTGAGAGACAGAATAACAACAACAAAATCCAGAAAAACACATGTCAAAAATGTTATAAATTGATTTGCATTTTAATGAAGGAAATAAGTATTTGACCCCTCTGCAAAACGTGACTTAGTACTTGGTGGCAAAAGCCTTGTTGGCAATCACAGAGGTCAGACGTTTATTGTAGTTGGCCACCAGGTTTGCACACATCTCAGGAGGGATTTTTTCCCACTCCTCTTTGCAGATCTTCTCCAAGTCATTAAGGTTTCAAGGCTGACGTTTGGCAACTTGAACCTTCAGCTCCCTCCACAG